TTATATAGATATATATATATATATATATATATATATATATAATATATATATATAGATATATATATATATATAGTATATATATATATATATATATATATATATATATATATATATATATATATATTATATATATATATATATATATATATATATATATATATATATATATATATATATATATATATATATATATATATATATATATATATATATATATATATATATTAGTGATGCAGCATATTTTGTTTTGGAGGGAAAAAAAAGTCTTAGTGCAGCTGCTAAAGAAATTGACATCAAGAGATTGACATTAGCAAGATATATTTCAAAACTAAACACTGGCGGTCACTCATCCATGGGTTATTCAAAACCTAGACTAATTTTTTCCTAAGAGCAAAAAAAGCACTTAAAAAAATTATTTTTTGCAAATGGCATCTATATTTTACGGCTATACTCCTAAAGATGAACAATCTCTTGCCTATGAGTGTGCTCTTCAATTCAAAATCAAAATGCCAGATTTTTTGACAGTAAATAAGAAGGCTGGTAAAGAGTAAATGACTAGTTTTGCAGAGTTAAATGATGTTGCTCTTGGTAGGGCAACATCATTTTACGCAGCAAAAACACTTTTACAAATGTAAAAGTGTTTTTGCAGTGTTAAATGATGTTTTTTACAAATGTAAAAGTGTTTTTTGAAAAGCTAGGTGAAGTTAGGGATATATACAAACATTGACAAAACTAGTGTATCTACAGTTGTAAAACCTATTAAAATTGTGGCTGCAAAGGGCAAGAGAAATGTTGGTGCTATGACATCTGGGAAAAGAGGCATTAATGTCACAATTGTAACCACTGTATCTGTTTTAGGAAATACAGTACCTACAATGTCTGTGTTCCCTTGCAAAAATAATAAAGATAATTTTGTTAATAATGGTTCACCGGACTGTATTGGTATAAATAATGGAAGTGGCTGGGTTACAGATATTGAATTCAAAAATTTTATGCAGCATTTCATTAGGCATGTAAAGTCTTCAAATAAATATAAAATTCTGTTGATTTTGGACAATCACTCTTCTCACTTGCATTTTAAAACACTAAACTTAGCAAAGGAGAATGAAATAGTCATGCTGTCTTTTCCACCACACTGCAGCCATAAGCTGCAGCCACTAGATGTATCAGTATTTGGACCTTTTAAAAAAGTACCTATTAGTTGCAAAAGATGCATGGCTGAAAAATAAAATAACCCTGGAAAATCCTGAAAAAAAAATATTTCTGGGAAAGCCATAATTTATGATATACCAAAAATTGTATCTGATTAATTGCCATAAGCTATAACGTGTACTAAAATTACAAAGGGTTTTCAAAAAACTGGTGTATACCCGTACAATGCAAACATTTTTGCTGATAATCATTTTTCACAGATCGTATAGAACCAGCAAATCTTGTATCTGAGCTATCACACCGAGCTCATTTTAAAGTACATTTAACATTATCTTCAGGTCAATCTGTCAAAAATAGTATTAATAAAGAGACAACGTTACTTATTCCTGAAACTCCAAAAGCATTTTCTGCAGAAACTGTGCAGCCTTACCCAAAAGCAGCACCAAGAAAGATACATTGACATTGACAAGACAAAGAAAAAGGAAAGCTGCTATTCTAACAGATACTCCACATACACACACACACACACGAACACACACACAGATATATATATATATATATATATATATATATATATATATATATATATATATATCATATATATATATATATATATATATATATATATATATATATATATATATATATATATATATATATATATATATATATATATATATATATATATATATATATATATATTTATATATATATATACACACATATATATGTATATATATAATAAATATATAAAGTTTCAAATTTATGTTTCATGATCAATAATGGGTGGCAAGTTGAAAATGGGACAAAGTTTTAAGAGAAGTTACTCCCTCATTTTTCAATATTTTTCAAAAAAGATTCAATTACATTATTTATTGCACATTCTTTGTTGGAAAAAGTTTTATTGATCTTTAATTAAACCATGTTGTCTAACAAAATCAAAAAGAGCTTGAGCCTGTTGAGCAAGAGGTTTAACACTGACTATGTCGACTTCTTTAAGGTATTTCTCAATCTATTTGCGCAGATGGTCTAAAATTTGCCTTTCAGAATACTCTTGAAATTTTAGATAAAGCGTAATTCTGGGACATTTGGGGGAAAATCTTCTTTTTGGACAAAATTTACCTTTTTTAGCTTTCAGGTAGGAAATGATGAATTTTATGTTATGCGTCAATACTAGGTCAAACCAAATATTTAGACATTACCTAAATGATGCTCAGCAATGAACAGCGTTATTATCTTTTAAGTACACTAGCTCAAGTAGACCGCTGGTTGACTGCCATGCCGCTTCGAAGGAAGAATGGCTTTGAAATGCCATGCTCTGAAAAACAAAGCCAGACAAGCAGTTTCTTTTGATATTTGACTATTGGGTCATACTTGACACTTGCAAGAGTTACTGAAACATTGCTGGTGTAGAAAATACAGTTACCGTTGATGTGCAAGTGAGATAAAGGGAAGTACAATTCATCATCCAAAATGCATTTTTTGACAATTTTTTTACAAACGTAACAAAATTGTAAAAAAATAATGATGGCTTTTTGGTCTAATCTTTGTTTTCTAGTCCTTCACTCACTTCAGGACTCTGATTTTCTTTCTTGCATGCTTGGACAGGAATTGCGTGCGAGTGCACGCTGTAACTAACCACGCTTATAATATATTTTATAATTTGACCATGGTGGTTTTAATGCCATAATAACAATTGTTACATGACTAATAACTTTTAGTCGTTGATCTTTTCTTAAGTTTTTACTTTACGCGAAGGCTTTAAATAAAATAAAAAAATAATTAGAGTGATTGTTTAAAATAAATGTATTTTGTGTAAATTAACATATGTAATATTTAGTTTTTTTTATGTAGGAATGTTTTATGATGAATTTAGATATAATACTTTGTTTATAACTATTTTTCAATATCTATCTAAATATCGTTAGAAAGATTTTTTTTTTAAGTTATTTTAAATTATGTATAAGTTAAATTAAATCTTCCTTTACAAAGGAATGAATTAATTGCTTTATTTATTTATTATTATTATGATTTTTTTTGTTTCTATTTTTACAAAGAACTGTTTAAGCTTTTTTTTAAAACTAGACTAACTAATCAGAGCATGAAATGATTAAAAATTACTATTTTAAATAGACAATAGTATTTTTTTAATTATTTTTTTTTTAACAATTTTATTGAAAAAAAAAGATGTTTATACAATTTAAAGATAATATGTAAAACACTTTTTAGTAATTTAATTAAAATTTGTTTATTCATTAAACAATCGTTAGAAAACATTTGTAAAACCTTTTTTTGTAACCTTTAATAAAACATTTTAAAATTAAATTTTCAAGTAATTTATTTTAAACGCAATTAAAAGCGTAACAAAAAGTAATTTTTGCTTCGAGTTTAAGTTTTTTAAGTTTCATTTTAGTGCTTATATATTTTCTTTTTCGTGAAGAATTGTTTTCTTTTTCCATAACTTTTTTTCTTCCTAGTTTAGCTAGCGTTTTTTTTTTCAGTGCATTTCTAAAATAATTAAAAATCATTTAATCATGAAAACAGTTGTGGTCAAGTTATCATAAAATAAAATCATATGCGCGGTCAGCAAAAGTGCTTGATCACACGCCATTCCTGAAAAAGCCTGTTTTTGTATGGGTAGAAGATTTGTTTTTGAGTATCAGAGAGATGTATTGATGACTGCATTGAAATTGTCCAGCTGCTTGGCATCGCAAAACAGCATCCTTATGATCAAACATTGTTTTTAGTTTCTTTATGTTGGTTTTGATCATGATTACCAGTTGCCATCACTCATGGCTCTTTGGTAGCCAGATTTGTTTTCAGCATGGTTGATATTCTGATAGATAAAACTTTTAGGTATTTTCTCAGCAGCTTCTTGGTATTTCTCAGCTACAAAGTGCTTAACAGTGAATAGTTTTCTGGTATGCTTAACATTAATGTTAACATTAATAGTTTTGCAATGTGCTTCAATGTGGTTTATTGCTATTGGCTAGATAAAACTTATACATGTTTTCTTTGCGTTTTGTATTCACCTAAGTATTTTAGTTTTAATTTTGAAAACAATTTCTAAAGCAAATACAGATAAATGATCAGTGTAAAATTTGCTATAAACTTACTAGTTGACATTAACATAAATAATTTGATAAGACATATTATTTGTCTAATAAACTGTGCCCCATGTTCAACTTGCCACCCATTGAATGAAAAAAAAAACTATTAACACAACACCTAATAATTTAAATAACTTAAAATAATTTTATATTGAACCATCAAACGATAGTAATTGATCAATTTATTTGCTTTTTACCTACTTCATTAAAAAAAAAAAAAAAAAAATCAGAACTTTACCAAAGGCAATATTAGAAAAAGTAACAAATGAACACAAAATGATAAAAAAGACAATTCCAAACATTGATAAAGGATACCATGCAGCTTTTAAAGTATAAGATATCATTGAAGCATGATGATTGAACTGCAAAAGTTTAATGAACTTTAAAGTAACAAAGAAAATGATTAGTGAAACAATGCACACATACAACATATCACAGTAAGATGCAAACTGGAAATTGATAAACACCTGTGGTTTTTTATCTGGAAGCCGTTGCAATAAAACTTTGGCTAGATAATCTTAAAAAATGGATATATTTGTAAAAAGTAAAAGACTTTAAAAATTTGAATAATTAAATATATAGAATGTAAATAAATTTTAACATTTATAAATCAATAAAAATAAACAAAATAACAAACATTAATTTAAAAAAATTATAATAAAAAGATTAGCTATTTCCAGTCTTAAATTTTTTTTTTTTTTCTTAACAAATAAAAATTATATTTTATGCAATATATTTTATGCAAATGGATTCATTTTTTTATAAATTTTTTAATACACAAACATGTCTTCGAAGCTTCTTTTTAAAGCGCTTAATGTACATAACAAAATCTCTCTTATATGAATAATAAAATCTCCCTTATATACATAATAAAATCTCCCTTATATACATGATAAAATCTCCAACTCAATATTAAAATAATCTGTTAAACACAGATTGCAATTAACACAAATGAAGATAACCAATAACACTCAAGCTTAACAAAAAAAAAAGGTTAAAAAATAAAGTTAAATCTTGAATATTACTTTATGAAGGTAAAAGAATAATTTGAACTTGATATTTTTCAAAATACTTTCTCTAGTTTTATTTTTATTTTATTGTATTTTAGAAATGGTAATCAAAACTCAGCTAGAAGCAAAAAAATAAATCAATTTTAAATTAACAAATTTTATTATCAACTTTTTATTTTTTATTCATATAAATAGTCTACTTGTTTTACTTTTTATTTTTTTTATTCATATAAATAGTTTATTTGGTTAAATTATATGATTTAATGAAAAAAGTAAAGTGAAATAAAATCATGAATGTAGTTACATTCATGGTTTTACTTTACTTTATTTTTTTCCTATAAATCATATTTAAATTCAAATTAGAAAAAATACACAAAATATTTACAAGTTTTAAAAAAATATTCTATAAATTATTAGATGGTTTGCTCCAATAAAAACGATAAATGAAAGTTTTTACACTTTGCAGCTAAGTAAATCAGTACAATACATGCACATTAGCATAAATACATACAAACATATTAATTCTTAAATAAATCATTTAATAAAATTTTTTAATACATGCAAAGTAAAAATATTTAAAATTATTTTATTATTTTGTTTCTTTACTTTAATTGTCAAGAATAAAACTTGAGCCAATCTAAGTGCCATTTTAAAAACATGTAAAATATAAAAATTAGAAAAAATACCTTTATAAAAGAAAAGTCCTACAGCAGTAATAGATAGTATTATCAATGCAACTTCCACTAAATTCCAAAACTCTACAAAATATTTACAACCAGCTCGATATAAAAAACGAGATTCTCGAATAGTAAATAATATAGTCATCAAGATAAATAGAATTTGGGAACCCAACATAGCCTTTGATTCAGTCGCTGATGCATATAAATTGAATGTTAGAACAGAAAAATTAGGAACAACTCCACCAGAAGCTGGAAACTCTAAGGCCATTGTAACCATATTGAAATAATTAGTAGCGGCGTTAAACAAAACAAATTCAATTATTATAGCTCGTGTTTGTCTATCAATCCATCTGTGTTTTTTTGCTTGATCAAGAATAACTTGATTTTTCCACTTGGAAAATAATTCTATAACATAACCACCGCCATAGTAAGTGTTTATTCTAGCTATATATGGATACCCATCAAGCTCTTGCCAGGTTTGATACCTCCAAGGCATTGTCAAAGTATTAATTGTAGAGTTATATTGTTTTGGAATAGTCCAATTCAAATCAAAACCTCTTGTTTCCTCTAAAGTAGTTTTATATGGAGACAAACAATTTATAGCAATAAACTTGGCAATTGAGTTGGCTTTTGTGCAAGAATCTAAAGAAAAAAAAACCTTTTCTTTTTAAGTTTAAATTTTTAGTTTTTTAAATATTGCATTTGAATATAAGGGTATATCATTCACATGTATAATTACATAAGTTTTTAATAATAATATTTTATAAAAGTGTTAAACATTATATTTCAATATAATAATATGTTTTATATACACTTAAAAAATTTTATAACACTAATTATATATAAAATTTCAAATTATTTTTAATTCTTATGTTTCAAAGCTAGAAAGCTTTTCCAGGAAGTACATGATATCAAAATGATGATTTATATCTAACTGTAAATTGTGAAAACTGCATAAAGTTTTCAGTTTTATCAACATAAAATAACATTTTATGTTGATAAAACTAAAATAACCTTGAACCAGTTTGGTTGCACAGCATATTTTGAGAACACAATTCAATCTTAGATTATTAAACATTTAAATACATGGACTTTATAAAATGTCATTTTTAGTAAGCAAAATGTTAAGGTGCACCTTGCAAGGTATTTAGGCATGACCATTGTAAGTGTCTTTGTAAATTTGATTTTGATAAAAGATTTTAAATAATTATAAAAAGAGTTTATTTGGATAAAATATCAGCACAAGAAATAAGGAAGCGTTTCCAAAAACATAGCTACTTATTTTAGTATAATTTTTACAAAACTCTAAAAAAGACGTTGTTTAACATTATTACATGTTTTCCATTATAAAACTAATACATGTGTAATGGTTGTGATTTTTTTAGTATTTTTTAGGTATCTCTGACTTGTATAAAAAATAGTTGAGCTTTGTTTTGAAGTTAGCAAAAAAACTATTTAATTTAATTATTGAATAAGATCATGCACCATGCACCATTTATTACTTACATGCACCATAACCATTTATTACTTGCATGCATCATGACCATTTATTACTTGCATACACCATGGCCATTTAGTGAAATTTTAACACCCACATTACCATTTATTACTTGCATACACTCATATAATAGTGAAATTTTAACACCCACATTACCATTTATTACTTGCATACACCATGACCATTTATTACTTGCATGTACCATGACCATTTATTACTTGAATGCACCATGACCATTTATTACTTGCATGCACCATGACCATATATTACTTGCATGCACCATGACCATTTATTATTTGCATGCACCATGACCATTTATTACAATATAGCCCAAGTTGATATAATGTATATTAACTTCAGCTTCAAAGAATTTTATAAAGATTTCAAAATATAAACTCTATTTTATTAAAAGTACTTTGAAAAAAAATAATCGTTGCCACAAAATGTCTTAAAAAACTATTCGATCAATTTAGGTAAAAAAGTATTGTTTTTTTTTAAATATAAAATAAACTTTATAAAAAATTTTTTTACTTTTATATGAGACCTAGCAAGACTCATATAATAGTGAAACACCCACATTGAATGTGGGTGTTAAATCATGTGAATTTATTATCAATCAATGAAAAAGTGCTTGAATGTCTACTGTGAGAGGTCAAAACTTATTTAAGTGGTAATCAAATTGAAAATGAATTTTTTTTTTTGTTAAAACATTTTTTCTGCATCCTCATTGTTAAAATTGAAAATTGGTTGTGTAATTATGAAATTTAGAAATTTAGATTTTAAACCTGGGTTATACAATGGGACTTAAATGAAAGTTTGTACTCTTTAAAATAGTTATATTGATGCAGAAGTTTTGAAAAGCATTTCTTGTGATTAACAGGTATTTGTTCCTTTAAAAACAGGTATTTAGTTGACTCTATCAGATTCTAATTTACTATTTATTCTAAAATATCATCAGTTTCCTGAAAGATTAGCATATTTAATAATAATTAGTAAAAGTCAAGATCAAACATTTGATCTAGTTGTTGTATATCTAAAAAAAAAAAATGTTTTTCTTAAGATCAACTATATGCTACACATTCAAGGACAAGAGCATTTAACAGTTTATTTTTAAAAATTAATAAAAAACCCTTTCAAGCTATGGAAGGTGGAAAATAAGTAAAAAACCCTTTCAAGCAATGGTAGGTGTAATATAAAATGTAATAAATTCTAATGCTCTATTTTTATAGTCTAAGACTTTTTGTTCCGATTTCATTTGTGTTCAAGAACAAAATTAATCATTTAATTTTTAAAAATCATTTAATTTTTAAAATAAACATAATATACATTATATATTAAACACATAAATACATAATATATTATTTACTAAATATTACGCAAGTAATGTTGTATTTGCATATGTTTTTAATGGTAATGTTTTTGATAAGTGTGTTTATGTGTCATAAGGTGTTAATGTAATGGGCTTGTATTGGCTATGTTAGTTTATATATGTTAATATTATGGTTTTTCTATAATTGCCATATTATAGATTGTTATATTTGCCAGCCAAGCTGACAAAGTTGTGGTGTTACTAGGCAGGATTTAATTTCAAACAGTGTTACTGATAAAAAGTTAGGTTATATTATCTAACCTTATTTATTTATTCCAAAAATACATGTGAATACTTTGTGTAATTAATGTGCTACTTATTTTCTATTGTATTACTTTCATTTTTAACAAGCTACTTTTAATCATTCACTAAAAGCAAGAAGCTGAGTTTTTGAATAAATGCATAATTTTTCATCCTAATTGTGAAAATTTTAATTTTTTTTTCAATAAAGTAGTTAAAAAGTCTTTCACAAAAAACTTTACAGAGTAAGTTTTGAATTTATTATTTGTCAAATATTTGTGTTTTTATTTTTCAAATCAATTATAATACATAAACATAATTGTATAACCAGTGTTTTGAATTAAAATACTTCATTTCAATATATATAATCTATTTTTAGGTCTTGCTAGTTTAACTGATTTAAAGTCTTTCATGTTAATCATTTTCTAAAAACCTACACCAAATATTGTTAATCTCTATACCATTTACTAAATACTATTATGATATTACAGTGATATGATTCAAGTTGTTATAATTAGTACCAAAATCAAAAAAGAGACCTATCTAATTCATTTTTATTTGTTCTCAAATAATGTTTTGCATATAAAGCTTTTTTTTGTTGAGAAATTGAAATTTTTTTTATTAAATACTACTTACTACTTGATATTCACCCTGTTCATGGTGCATGGACAGGGTGAATATCAATTAGTGATTTTTGTATACAATTTTTTACTTTGTAAAATGAAACTCATCTAATTCAATTTTAGGTTATACATTTTCATGATTGTAGCCCAGTAAATCTTCCTCAACTTCATCATTTTCAAATGAATCACTATCAGAAAATTTCAAAACTCTGGCTGACAATCTTTGCCAACGGGATACAGTAAGTTGTATCCCGTTGGCAAAAGATAATTGTTGATTAGCAACTAGCAACCTTCCAATTTTTTTCACAGCACTAACTCCATTGGTAATTATAGTCACAATGTCAGGACAAGTTTTTTTTCAAATAGTTCAATACACTTTTCTGCTGGCATAAACCACACACTAAACCTAAACTCAAGTGAGAATTTTGTCAGTGAATGTTACTATTCATATAGCAACAGTTTTAAAGTGACGTTCAATCGCCAAAAGTTTAAAAAAATCTCACTCCTACTCCGAACTTACTCTTACTCCTATACTTTTTTCTTGCGCGCTTTAATTTGATAAACTAAACTTTGTCTTATTTATTTGCTCTACTGTACTAATTGATTACAAATTGTGTAACAACTAACATTGATAAATTTTTAAATCCAATAACAGTTAGAGCAGTATATAAACCTGTTGAAGAACAAATCATGTTAAATAAAACCATGTCATGTTACTTTTAATTGAAAAATTTGCATACGCCATGCTTATTCTATTTTTAATTTTAGCAGTCTATCTTATAAGAAATGCGCTTTTTTTTAGTTTAAAAAAAGTTTATTTTGCAGAATTACAGAACAGAACAAAATAACTAACGATAATAACTGAGCTATTGAAAAAGTTAACTACCGTGAACATTTAAAAAGAACATAAATTCGTATTATATAACGAATTATTATGATATAAATATAAATCGTATTACATAATAATGCAAGTCTGGGTATCCCAAGTACTGCAAACATGTTATAAAAAAACTTTTTTCATTGTTTAATTTTTAAATTTTGTATATGCTAACCAAGATAATATATTGTGAAGATTTTTACTTTTTTTTCTTCTCTAAATCAAACCTTTTCGATAATTTTTTATTACACAATTATTTAACAAAAATCTAAAAAAAAAAAATCTAAATGTTCTCTATATTTAGACTAAATAAACAGCGCTTATTATGATAAACCTTATTATGATATGTTAGTATATTTTTAGAAATGTTAGCAGAAGTGTGATAAAAAAATTACAGAATGACTAAAAATATTTTAAGATTTAAGAAATGAATAATGGGTCATTCCATGCCAAGTGAATCATGGTCCAACATGGACTTATTAGATTTTGATGGAACTTGGTGGGTTGGTTTATATCAATGAGAAAAGCAATTCCTGAAACTTTCAGCCTAAAATCTTTCGTGGTTCTTGAGATATTGCCATTTAAAGTTTCTGATTTTTTCAAAATTCAAAACTTTCTTTGCAAAAACATGTTTTGTTGATACTTTAAAGCTCTGTATTTTAAAAACAAATATTCAGAAAACTTTCTAGTTTTTTTATTATATACAACTGTAGGCTTACTTTTTTAATACCTTGATATTGAATTTTTTATTTTCAAATTTTATCCATAACGGCTGCCTGAAAAACCTTAAAAATTGTTTGCAGATATGAAAAGTTAATTTTTGATGGGTCAATATACTAAATTAGCAACTTAAGAAGTAAAAAGACATATCTTTTTTAGTTTCTATATATGGTAGGCTTCCTAATATTTAAAAATTTCCTAATAACATATGATTCAGTAAGAAATAATGGACTCCTAAAAATGGCTATAGTTTAAACTCAGGAAAAAAATTAGTGGATGCTCATGGGGAAGAGACAAAGTCAATGAGCAATGAAGTTGGCACAAAATGCATTAAAAACGATAAAAATATAGGTATTGATGTACTTGAGTTTTCATTATCTACTGCAATGCAAAAAATATATATGTATAAAAGTATATCATAATCATTATTAGAAATAAGTTATAAACTAAGACTAAATTAAACTCAGTTTTAAAATAGCAGTAGTTGCCTCTCCTCCCCCCTTGTCCATTTACTTTTTAACATGCATATTTTACAGAACATTCTTATTATAAGAAGAACTTTTTTCTTTAATAATTTTATTAATTATTTATTAAACATTTTACCTTAAACGATGTGTCATATAAAAGCTGTGACATTTAGTTTGTAAAATTAGATAGTAATTATAGCACATATAAAAGTAGCACATTAGGTAAATAATGAAAATAGAGACTTTTTGTTTTTTCTTACTATCTACCCAACACATATTTGTTTTCATATTACTTATTTTCTTTTTATTTCATATTCTGACTATAAATTTTGTAAAACTTTTCCCAAAGCATTCGCTATTCCGCCTCTTCCAATTTATTTGATTATCATCATTTAAATTTTGGTTACAAATTATACCAAGTGATAAGAGTTATTTAATTTGTCATCACAATACACAAGTTTATTATGCAATATATATTATGTAGTTAAAATATTATTATATAATAAAAAATCAATATAAAAATTGAACCATTTAAATTTGCTTTAATAAAAAATTTGAAGTAATCAATTTAATAATAATTTTTCTGTTGTTATATAATTTTGTTATTATATATACTCTTGTACAAATGTAGTATTCCAGTATAAATGTAGTATTTCAGCTGATAGTTCATAGCATCTACCAGTTGCTGATTGCTTTTTTATAGATAAAACTTTGAATAGAACATGCGTAATTGGAACCCAGCAAATATATTCTCTATGTGGCCAAGTAAAAGTGTTTGACGAAATAGACTACTTCATGAACTTTATAAGGATATCTTGATTTTCTTCAGATATTTTCACAATATTACCTAAAAGCCATTTTTCATCATAAAAACATGCTATATAAATTCATGTTGAAAAAGAGGCACGTAGAATCGTTTAGTTCTGCTGCATTGTTGAACGACACCTGTCTCATCTATAAAGTTGTTAATGATTTTGGTATAAAACCATGGTGGTTTCTTGTTCCTGGAATTGCTGAACAAGTAGCATAACATTCTTCTAATTTATGCAATGTAATGTAACTGCATCATTTGAAATGTATTTAAAATGTATTCCTTTAATATTTTGTCTACACCAATCATACATTTGCTCAGATGAATTGTTAGGATCAGTTAATGATTTTAAACTTGCCTTTGGTACAAGTCTTTTGACAGTGCCCCCAACACCATCACAAGCGCTCTTTCCATGCAATGTAGCAAAAAATGCCATTCTGCAGATACCTCATGATCTTGTTCATGGTGACATAAGTTAGATATGTTTTTATCTTACTTTCTTCCATAAAGTAAATAACAAAAGGATGCAATATTGCTTAGCTGTTGTTCCAACGGAAACCTTGTACTGCATTTTAACTAAAAAACTGTAATTTTCAGCAAAGTCTAGTAATATTAAAATATGATTACTTGGTAATGTGATTTTTAGATGCTGCAAGTATGCTGCTTGATTTATGGCTATACAGTGATGGTCACTTAATTGATCTATTTGTTGACAAGCTTTTTCAATAAAATCATTCACTGGAAGAGTTACTGGAACTATATCAGGTTTTTTGTTAGCTTTTTGCCACTGATTAAATGTGTTTTCTTCAATGCTATGTTTATCAAATATAGTAGTAAGATACTCTTAAAGTGTGTCAGTATTTGGGCAATTATCACAATTGTGCAGCATGCAGTCTGTTGTTACATACAACTAATATCAAAAGGTTTTTATATTCTAAATTATTCAGTATTTTTAATGCTAAAGGTTTGGCATTCTGGTGGTACTCACAAGCGCATAATGAGCAGAGATCTGAAGCACCTCCAACAGGAATACACCATTTTGGTCTAAGTTCGCAAAATTTAGAAAATCCAATCTTGACATCTAAGGAAATTTTAACTCTAAATTAAGTTCTTTTATATTAAGTAATAGTAGCCTTTTTTAAAAATCTTTTACCATCGACTTTTTTTGTTTTGTTTTTTTGTTATTCACCTCCTCAAGGCCGAGAAGGCCACTACAGACGAGGAGGCTACTTAATAGTGGTTATAACCATCTCTTAACTCTATAACTCCGAAACATGAACCTTGACGAACAAGGCCGCTGTGCAGAGAAATAAATTTAGCGCGGTACTACCAGGAACGTGGTGGGGATTGAACTAGGAACCTCTCCCTTATGAAGCGAGTGTTTTACCACTACACCACTACCGCATATGACTTGGATTGAGACTTACTGACTTGGATGACTTGGATTGAGACTTACTGTTTTTTCCCTGGACACATTCGAGAGTATTCATCTGATTGGTAGAATTCATGAACTTGATTTTTTACTTTCTCACTAAAAGGTCTGCCTTCTTTGTTAATGGTTCTGCCATTATGCCATGCATTTGTTTCAAATTTCTTGCAACTTTATCATTCTTTGGGAAGCAGAAAATAGTTTTTTGTATAGTCAATGTTCCAACTCTAAGGAACCAAAGTTAGTAATTTAAGTTTTTCTGATTTTGAAGAAATATCAAACTTTGCTTTAATTAATTCCATTGGTGAGTCCAAGCCTTGTTTACTGTCGCAACATAGCTATTTTGTTTTTGGTTCATCATTTATTAAATTGAGAGAACTTCTAAAACAGTTGCTATTTTCTTTTTGGTAGCACTATGGATCTTGTTCATCTTTCTTTTTGCATAGCTGAGCCTGTCTTTATGGGCTACTAGTTTTAGAGGTGAACAACCAAGGCTATTAATGCTTAAATTAAAGTTTTCTTTTGAAATATGATTCTCATTAAAATCATTATCTTTATTTTTACATGAATCGCTTTCATAATCTTTTTTGTTAATTTTTACATACAATATTTTACAACATTCTGTACAAAGTTTATGACCAGGAATTAAATCAAATTCCTTTGCAACAGCAACACTGATTAATCTGAAAACAACAGCAACACCGATTACTCTGATTCTAAACAGCAACAAAATGGTAAAACATTAAATAAGCCTTTATCTTTGAAATAATTGATTAATTCAAGTTATTTTTAAATACTTTTCATTTTAATTTTGTACTTGTTAAATGGATCACAACAAAAGCTTCCATCGTACAAAGACTCAAATCTATTCAAAAAGATCTTTTCATGGTGATAACAAATAGTTTTTATATGATTAACTTTACATCATAAGTGCACAAGTTCTAGATTTTTTTGGTTAATTCCTCAAAACATTTAATTTTCTTAAACTTGGTAAATTTTCCTTCATTACAATCTTTATTTAATGTTTTTCCAATGTAACATTGAGTTAGATCTAAAGATGTACTAGCCATTTATTTTAAATCATTATCTAAAAAAGTTTATTTAGTTTTAATTTTTGAAGTGTAAAGTAAAATTTCCATGAGTTTTGACATAATAATTAAATACAAAATGATAAATTTTATATATAAAGTAAAGACAAAAAATACACCCAACAACTTGTTTATCATTTCTAAGCTTTTAAATGTGTATGTTCAATTTTTGTTTTGCGCATAAAGACACTTCATGCATTTGAAAAAAATCAGTAAAACCTTCAATAACAAAGTTTCTTTTAAGATTAAGGTTCTGTGCAAAAATATGCATGTTAAAAAGTAAATGGACAGGGGGAGGGGAGGCAACTAAGGCTATTTTAAAACTGAGTTTAATTTAGTCTTAGTTTATAGCTTATTTCTAGTAATGATTATGATATACTTTTATACATATATATTTTTTGCATTGCAGTAGATAATGAAAACTAAAGTACATCAATACCTATATTTTTATCGTTTTTATTGCATTTTGTGCCAACTTCATTGCTCTGACTTGGTCACTTCCCCCTGAGCACCCACTAATTTTTTTTCTGAAATCAATTTAATAAAGTCTGTTAAATCAGTAAAAAAAAATTTTTTACTGATTACGAAAATCAGTGTTGATTCTAGAATACCAGCGGTTTAAAGGGAAGGCACAATTTTTAAAGTTTTAACCATAGCCATTTTTAGGAGTACATTATTTCTTACTGAATCATACATTATCAGCAAATTTTTAAATTTTAGGAAGCCTAACATATATAGAAACTAAAAAGATATGTCTTTTTACTTCTTAAGTTACTAATTTTGTATATTGACCCATCAAAAATCAACTTTTTATATCTGCAAACAAGTTTTAATGTTTTTTAGGCAGCCATTATGGATAAATGTGACATTAAAAAATTCGCTGTCAAGGTATTAACAAAGTAAGCCTACAGTTGTATATAATAAAAAAAACTAGAAAGTTTTCTGATTTTTGTTTTTAAAATACAGAGCTTCAAAGTATGAACATAACATGTTTTTGCAAAGAAAGTTTTAAATTTTGCAAAAATCAGAAACTTCAATAGCGATATTTTACGAACCACAAAAAATTTTAGGCTGAAACTTTCAGGAATTGCTTTTCTCATAAATATATACAAACCCACCAAGTTTCGTCAAAATCTGAGGGGGTCCATGTTGGAATCCCAAAATTTCAGTCTATTTGGCATAGAATAACCCTTATGTCATCTAACTTAACACCAGTCGAATATTGTAATTTTTCTAAATGAAATAAAATAAACAAATAAAAAAATACTGTAAGTGAATCTTACTTGGCTTTACACGAACTTGTCTAACTCGTATTCCATTCACAATTTTCGAGTTAAGATCATTTAAAAAAAGTTTTCCAGGGAAATTTTTTATGTCTGTATTTGCATAAAAATCACTTAAGTTATACCAAGGTTCAGGAAAAACTTGTGGTAGAAAAAATTCTTCCATCCAATGCCAAAAATCTTGTGAGGATTGAATCTATTTGCACATTTTCAATGTAATAAAAAGTTTTTATATGGCAATAAATTATTAAAATAATAAGCAGAATATATACATAATATATAATAATTAAAAAAAAAAAATGTATTTGATAAAAATAAAACTATACTCATTTAACTTAGAAAATATTATCAAAAATATAACTTTTTTTAAAAACTAAATCTAAATCTTTAAACATATTATTATTTTTATAATTTTACTTATAAAAGCAACCTGATTAAATAATGGGATGTTTGGATTTGCAGGCAATCTTAATTTCAAATTGAAAAGTTCTTGAACATTGCGAGTTTGATAAAAAGTGAGTCCACTATGTGAAAAATAACCAATAAAGAACACTAAGCATGCATAGAAAATGTACAAAAACAGTTCTTTAATTATAGCGTGTATCTTCTGGTGCTTTTGTCTTTGCTCACTCATCTTTTTTACTGTTGAATAATCAAGAGGCTGCATTAATATGCAATCACTATCCATTCTAAATTTATCTTTAGGCTTGTGGAGCCAATTTTCATCAAAAGCCAATCTTTTACCTAAAAGAAAGATTATAATATACCTAAAAGATTCTTATATATAGTTTTTAACAAACTAAAATTTTAAAAGAATTCAAAAAATAAACTAAAAACCATCTGATTTAATTTTTAAATGTTTAATGCGAAAGAAGTAAATCTTTTACTAAAAATTAAGTATATAAAACAAAAAACTGAGAAACTAATTAGTAAAGAAGCCAATTAAATTGATATTGTAGTGCAAAAGAGAGAATCAAAATTACTCCAAGATTAGTAATGAAAGTTGCTGTAAAAACAGGTATCTCTAAAATACACACCATATTTAAAATTAATAACAAAGTTGGAGGGGCAAAGGAAGAAAAAGGGTTTTAAGGTCAAGATTAAATATCTATTAGAAAAAAATAAGTTAAGAAGTGCCTGAAGCTACACACACGACCAGTACGCCGAAGGAAAAAATAAAGTACATTAGAATAGAGAAGAATTATTTTTTGAACAAGGCATATTTTGACAGTTGTCAACACAAAAATAAAAGAATAATAGAAGAATATTTAAAAATACATAAGACAAACAATGCACCCAAACAGCACTTACAATGATAAAAAATAGGAAATAATTTTTTTTCATAAAAACTTAAAATAAACAAAGATATACAACAAATATATCACCAAACAAAAACATATAAAACAAAAAATTGATAACAAAATAAAAAGTATGCATACAGACCTAAAAATGGAAAAAAAAAACATTAATGCTAATCTGTAAACATAAGTTTGTGTAGTGATTAAATAATAAACATCTTCTCAGAGTTGCGTCTATTATTTCTAGCTTTTCAATTCGACGAGGATCAGCACTAATAACTAATTTATCCCGTCAAACATTTAACAATCATCACCATTTATGCTTTACCCTGCAACTTTTGTCTATTCCATATTGCAGCAAAAAAGGACTCACTACAAACAGCCAAAATCCAACCATTCCCAAATTTGCAAAGCAATAATACTTTTTTTGATGATATGATATTAAAAGTGTAGAACAATATACAATATAAATAAAAATAACTAAATAAATCACTTACTCTACCACCAGAAAAAAACATGAAAACAAAATAAATTAAAATTCTAATAGAAGCACAAAAATAAAACTAAAACAACTCAAATGAGTATGTAAGCATAAAATGCTTATAAATTTCTTTTTAAGACATATATTTTTTCTTGATTAGTACAGATAATTTTTTTTTTAACCTATTAGCATGGTATACAATGCGCACCATGCACAGACATAAGAAAAGAGGGGAATGGACAGAAGAACAATAATTTCCTCCTTGCCAATTAACAAAGGGGCTCAGCACTAACATTGCTCTGCAAATTGCCAATCTATATTGTTTCAGCCTTAACTTCCGTGATCTTGCTGCGTAACATCATGTAAGATGGAATATTAGTATTAAAATTTAAAAAAATATATATTAAGTGAGCATTTAGATAACTTCCACAGACCATTTTTACAAAGTTATAACTTGTTTTTACTTTTGTTGTTGCAGCCCTGCAAAAAAGATTATAAGAGATGGTTTTCAAACTATTCAGAATGCACATACAAGGCCTGTCACCTAATTGTTGGAATAACAGTATCTTAGAGTAAACATTTTTACTCTAACTTTTATGAAGTTCTAGCTGATACAGGACCTTTTGATATCACAACCCAACTTAATTAACGTAAATATTAAACCAGTTAGGTATATATACACTAACAATAAAACTCACAATTATTCTTAAATTCTCTAGGTTTTAAGCAGTAAACAAGGTTAGATACCCAAATTCTGCAAAACTGCTGTTATTAGTGCATAACAGTGCATAAACCCTTTTGGTCAGTGCATAAACCTATATAATCTTGTGACTGAGAAAAATCCATAAAAGACCTAAATATATCTTAAAGGGATCCCAAAGTACATAGACAAGTTGTGTTTATATTAAAGAGAATGATAAAAAAAAAATGTTTGGGCTAAATTTTTTTGAGTAAAACAAAATAATAAATGTATACCGAGAAAAACTTTGTTGTTTTACACGAAGCTCGTTATCTCCATATTAGCAATTACTTTAAGTTTTTAAAATATATGTCATAATATACAGACTTTAAAATTTATTAAAGTGCCTTTAATTCCAAAGAGTTTTAGTATATGACATCATTGCAGAATATTGATAAGAAAGCCAAAAATTATTTTTTCCATCAAATTATAGAATTTTTTTTTATTATAGATTACTAAAAAATTTGTTTAGTTACTTATTTTTATATAAAAGTTTTTTTTTCATAATAAATTACTATAGAATTTCTTTCTTTTTTTTTTTCCTTAAATTTCATGAAGTTTGCATTAAAAATATGAATAAAATGTTTCAGATATTTTAAGCTTGTCTTTTGCTTTAAATTATTTTTGTGTTATATTTGTGATTAAATGATTATCATCCTAATTAAGATTTTGTTATAAAAATGATTTTGTATAAGTTAACTTTATGAAAGTTTAATTAACAGCATTTGTTTGCTAAACTTTTTATCTAGTGCAAGTATTTTCAAAATTCTTATTTAATCATGCAAGAATATATTTAATGAATTTTATTCTGTAAAACTTATATTGCTTATAATTTTTTTTTAATAAAACACCTATTGGTCAAGATTGCAAAAAGTGTAGCATTATCAAGTCAATTTTAAAAATGAAATTGTTTAATGAAAAACTTTTTATTGTCAATTTTTGGTAGTTTTTTGATTTGAAATGTTAAGAGACAGGTATTCATGTAAAATACTTGCCAAGTACAACATATAAATTGGGAAATATTAAAAGAAATGCTTTTAACGTGCACTGCAACACTTTGACAATTTTAATCGCCATGTGTCTTAAATTAATGCCATAAAACATGATAAAAAATAGTATGGCTATTAGATTCAAGAGTCAAACTAGAGTAAGATTTCTTTGCAAATAACTATGCTTTAATCTGGGGAGAAGTAAAAAAGATCAGACCTATGAGATAAAATATTAGACTTACTTTAGTTAATGACATTGTTGAAGACTAACCAAAAGTCTCTAGAACTAACATCTGATATAAGATACAAGATTTAGTGAACTGAGAATAACAGAGCTTAACATCAAACAAGATCTTTTTACACTGGCTTCTAGGAATAAAAGGATATTTGTTCTTAAGAGAGATGTTCTTGTAAAAAAGATGAAAAAAATGATTAAAGGCAACTGCTCAAGATGGTAAAAAATGTGGAGTAGAACAAGGTTTGACTTAAAACTAGTAGGAATAAAAGCTTCCAAACTTTTAGTCCAGAAGGAGTAAAAGATTCTGAGATGCGCTTTATGCATACATATTATGGATATAAACATATATATTTGCTATTTATTTAGATGCAGGCATACAATATTCCTTCATTTTCATATAAACTTTAGTATTTATACTGTGTAGTATTTGCCAATGATGATGATGATGGTAATGATGATTATGATGATCATGTTGATCATAATAATGTTTATATATGCATATATATATATATACATAATTTAACATGAATTTTGAATAAAAAACACACTTTAGGATGTATAAATGTTTATAAAGCCCTGGTTACAAACTCGGCCCTGGCTTTATTTTATTAAACCGGCCATTGCCCCAGTCAAAATCAACCCCAGTCACTTACTAGTTTGGAACAGGAACATTTCTTATTGAATAGAGAACAGGTTATTTCCAAGTAAATAAATTACTCTATTATATTGCTATATAATAAAATACAAAATTTATTAAAAGGCTATAAAAAATCATATTTGTAAAAACTTAGTAAAAGTATACTTTGTTTCACTCATCTTTGTATAGGTAGACTCAAATATTAGGTAAAAATTATATACAAAAAAAAATAAAAAAAAAAAGGTACAATCAAAAAACATTACATTTTTATCGAATAATTATCAACAGAATAAATTTTATTGAGATTCTAAAAATATGTAAATAAAATAGTTACACTAAAAATATGTAAATAATATAGTTACACTGAAAACTAAAAATTTTTGAATTAGTTGACTTCATTTGAGTTAGTTGCAATCATTTAAGGTGCAAATAACTGCAGGGCAAGTTAAAGAATTAATTTTTTTTTGTTTTGTACCTTGCTTTTCAACTTCACTATTTTCAGTTTCGTCATCAATCTTTTTTACAATGAGAACCATAACAATAACCACTATAAAAATTTTTAATGGATCCAATACAAGTATACTTTTAACCTAAAGTTATAAAACGAACATAAATACAAGTATCCTGTTAATCTAGAAACATCAAAAAAGAAAAAAATAATAAAAAGTTAAAAAAAAGAAAACAATCAAAAAAACAAAACTATAATTAAAAAAGATGAAAAAACAATATTTAGATAATTCCGAAAATTATAAAAAACCTTTTAACCCCTTGAAAGTCTTGTATTTTTTAAATTATGGTTGCTATTAGTGTAGCCATTTTTTTTTAGAAGTGATCTTTAAATATCCTATGTTTTTTAAAAACATAGGATATTTAAATTTTTGATGTGATTAACAACAGTATAGTACATTGATGTGATTAACAACAGTATTCTAAAGTTCAAAAGTTCTATACTACAACACATTTTTTTTACAAATTATATGAGCATTAGGCTGCTTGATTAATGAAATGAGTAAATACTTTTTTGTAACACTTTTTTTTTTTTCACTTTTCACACTTTTTCTTTTAAGTTCATAACAATCATTTAATCACTTCTTGGTTTTTCTTTTTTTGGCCTCCCATATTTTGATTATAATTATAATCTATAATATAAAAGGAAAAGCCTTTACTCACTGATTCACTGATTCACTCACTCACTCTTCACTAATTTTCCAACTTGCCGGGTAGCTAGAAAGCTAAATTTTTACCAGGGGTAACTTATGATGTGCTTCGACAAAGTAAAAAGTTTAAATTTAAAAATTCCGCCTAGGGGCGGAAATATTAGGGGCAGTAGTTTTTTATATGGAGCCCATATACGAGCATACAGATGAACGTTTGTATATATGCACATAATGAATTTTTGTGGCTAAAATGGTGTCGGTACAAATCTATGGATTGCCTTGATACCAAATTAGTTAGTGAGCATCTAGGTGCTTTGCTCCTTATGCCCCTTCCCATGGGAGTAACAAAAATTGATTTCTGCACAGGTGGACGGATTTCAGTGAAATTTTGTATTTATGTTACTATTATGTCTAAATGGCATACAAGCTATTTAAAACGGTCAAACTCAAATTGTGCCTGTTCCCATGGGAGTTAATTTTTGTTTTCTGCATGGGTAGACAGATTTCAATAAAATTTAGTGGGTATGTTACTAATATGTCAAAATGGCATTCAAGCTATTTAAAACTGCTAGTTAAAATCAGTTATTGACGGTTACTAAAATCTATTGGCAGTTATATTATGTGGCAAAATCATGTAAAAAACAAATTATAACCTCAAGGTATAGATAATTGTTTACAGTAAAATTATTTCAATATCCAGATCCCTTAAAGGTATGGTAAGTAACAAAATATAATACAAACATATTACATAATATTAACCTGGTTAACCTAAGAGAAAGCGAGACAGTTAGGAATTATTAATGAAACCTGACTAATAATAAAAAAAAATTAATATTATGTGTCCTTAATTATATAATACTAGCTGTATCACATGTGCAGCATTGGTATACAGCTAGTCATCAATAAAAATATTTTTAATCCCATCAATAATGCAAGTTGATATGGTATATACATTTTTTTTATCTTTCCAATGTGATAACATTATGTTTTTCTTCATACAAAACTATACATTTATTTTTTTCTCAACTTTGTTTTGATAGAATTAGATAAACCATTTTGGTCTTTGCGAATTGTTTTAATGGTATCTGTAGATCTTAGCAAAAAAACTTATGAAAGCTCATAAGAAAAATACCAGTTGTCAATGCATTGTTTGTAGCCCTGTTTAAGTAAGCCGTTAATAAAAAATATTACAACATATGTTGCATATATATACATAGCCATAGTTAACTTAAGCATTAGTTAGCTCAGATATAAAATTGATTTCCATACATACCCTGAACCACTCGCACAATGAAAATTTGTTTTTATACCAAATCTGGCACTTTTTGCTGCAAATATACTGTTTCCAATAGAGTTGACCTTTCCACAACAAAAATGACTCATCAATAGATATATTTTGTGCAGGTGTATACACTTATTATTTATTAGTCAGATTTCAACATTGAATAGAATGTTTGTTTGGTAATGCAGTAGAATCAACAAAATGAATAAATTTCTCAATAAGCTTGAACTTCTTATAAGATAACAACCGTTTGATACCAGCACTTGCAAACAATCAATTCGTGATGTAATACATTTCATATGCAGGCTTTCAAAATACTCCTAGATATAAAAAAGTTGCAATATATTGCCTAATCTTTAAAACTTTTGTAAGCAACCAGTGACTTATTCTGGAATATGCTGATAATTCCTTTTTGTTTAACTTGCTCTCAGAAATGTTTTAGCATCTTTGTTAGCACATAGATGTGTTAAATGCTGTACAGTCGATTCTTTCTTTGTACAGTCTTTGAGGTTTTGCAAACAGGTGCCTTTAACAGCTAAAATTTCGATTTGTTTATTTAATAATTTGTTTATTTAAAAATTTTTTTTTAATTTTTCCATATTTAACAAAGAAAATTTTATGAAAAATATAATTTGATTTTTAACATAAACTTAAACTTTCTACAGTTTTTGTTTAGTTTTGATTAAAAGTTTTTCTTCCATTTTGTTTAGTTTAAAGATGCAACAATTTTATATTTATTCGGTGTTTATTGTGCTTCTGCATATAGGTTTCATAATTTTTTTTTTCACTCTCGTTAACTTAAATATTTTTCTATTACTAGTACCAATTTTCTTGTTTGCACTTGATAAGAGATAATTTTTTCCAGAAACACATTAAGTAAATTCACCTTGGTATCTAAATTTGTGTCCATGTGATTAAATTTTCTTGAATGATTAATTGCTTAAAGAATCTGTATCCATAAGGTTCGATTTGTATAATTAATTTAATTTTTTATTTTCAATACTATTGTTAGTGGCAATTCTGTAAACTCATTGGAGCTGTAAAACTTTGCTGAACAGTAAAAAAGCTATAAAATTAATAATTCTGTAAAACTCATAAAACTTTTAACACTCAACTGTAATAAGTTTTTTTTTTTTTATTGTAGCACAGTGTTTTAAGCAACTAGCTAAGCAAGACTTACCTTATTTTTTAGAGTGATTGGAAAAAAATTAAGTGATTTTTAGTTACTTCAATTCACTTTATTATTAATTTTGTTATTAAAAGGGTTAATAATAGTGAAATTTTTTAAAACAGTCAAACTGTAACTGATTTAATGAAGTTTACTATTTAGTTTTATTTTTAGTTAGAACTTTATGCATTTAACATGAAAAAATAATTAAGACTTTTGTTTATTTGCATGTTTATATACATAAATGTGCGTATATTTCAGCATATTTTTATTCCTCTGTACTTAGATGTATATTTCCTCTTAAAAAATAACAAGGAATAGAAAAAGTAAAAAAAAATCAGTTGGAAGTAGCCTGAAAAAAAAAGAGTTTATGCTTCACCATTTTTCTTTCTTTAAAACGTGCTTTTTTCAAAAGTGCTTCTTTTAAAGGTATTTGAATATATATATTTAGAATTGTTACATTTGTTCTTAAATTTTTTCATTAGTTTTATTACTTTAGAGCAAAATATACTGACTGACATTGCTTCATTTTTTAAAACAAGATTGTGCATTGTAGTCTGCATTTTTCATTCAATTAAAAATAAATGATGTTATTAAATATTATTTTATATTTTTGATGAGCATCTTAAGATCATTTCAAAATCATTTTAAACTTTTTATTTCTTTTTGTCATATTTTTTGATTTTAATAAATTTTATATATATATATATATATATATATATATATATATATATATATATATATATATATATATATATATATATATATATATATATATATACATATATATATATAATAGTATAATTACTTTTTGTTTACTTTCATTGAAAACCTCAGATCGCAATTTTGGTTTTTAAAAATAAACTATGATAAAAGTAAGTCCTAATGTTAAACACATCTTCCAGGCCTTCTTACCAACAAAAATAATTTCTTCATAAGAAACTTTATAGGCTAAATCTGATTCAATTGAAAGGATCATCAAGTAGCAATATTGCTCCTGGTCCATTGTGGAATGAAGATAATCTTTGATGATAGCTAACTTGCTGAAAGATTTGTTTTCTTCAGATATTGGAACCAGCAATTGTTGATTCTAAGTTAAACACACACTTGTGGAAATATTAAATGCAACCTCTTTACAGTTTTAATTTATGTGCAGTACACGCTATTGAATTATCAGCTCCTGCAAAATCCTATTTTGGAAATATTCAAAAGATATACAATTTGTTCAGCTGCAGCCCAGTTAGTTGAAAAATTCTTCAGAAGGAGACAGACCAATCATTACATAAATTTCTGTTACATGATGGAGCTCAAAGATTGAAGCAGTCAAGCCACTAGCAAATAAGCAAAAAAAGATCTTGAAATCATTAAATCGTCCAAAAGATTTAGATCTTCCAGGCGAAATTAGTAAAATTAGTGTGCAGAGCAAGGAATGAAAAATGCTTGTAGATTATTCTGCCTAATCATAGCTTAAATTCCATTGTAAATACCTGCCATATTTGCGCCATTGTCGTAGCCTTGTTTATCAATAAGCTTTAAGAAATTTCCATTCCCATTTTTGAACAATTTTTGATTGGATTCTAATTGCAAACAAAAAATTATCAAAATAGTAATCCATTTTTTTTATCCAATTATAACTTTTAATTTTGATTTTTTAAATTATAAACAAAATAATGCAAAATATAAATTCAAATTTAAAAACAATATTCTTACTCCTAAAAGCTAAATTTGTTGAAGCCAGAAAAATTGTGACATAAAAAATGCATTTTAAAATTTCTATTGCTTTGTTTCATCTCCAATTTTGTTTCATTTACAAAAGAACTTTTACATGCCGTTAAATAAGCAAATAATAATTGATCTTTAATGCTTTGATCTTTAATGCTTTTATATTATTGAAACGCTTTTCAATAAAGTAACAAAACAATTCTAATTAATTTTTAAAATGAGAATTAATTGTTGTTGTTTTTTTATTTATATAATTATGTATTTTTTAAGAGAAATGTTTATCTTTTGAAACATATTAAACAAAAAATAAAAAAGTTCAAAAGTTAAAACAAAGATTGTAATGGTTTTTTAATGTGTAAATTAAATAGACTGAGCCTTTTAGTTTGATGATTTTTTTTATGTAGTTGGATTATATGTATATTTATTTTTTTTGTGTTTTTGCTTTAACTAAGTATATTTTTTTATTTTCACGTTTGTTAAGATTTTTTTCTTTTAACTTTTTTTTTTTAGATAAGTCAAATCGTTAAAACATATTATTTTTTCCTGTGAAAACCTGCCTCCCGTTGGTGTCATTAAAACGGATTTCAGGTAGTTTCATTACTCATCCTAACTGCTTTTAATCACTAAAAGCCAAGATAACATTTGATATTACGATTTGAAATTGTTTATACCTCATATTCATTTTTTATTTTTAGTGTTATTTATAATTTTACTCTTTGAATGAGATTATTTAAATGAGATAGTTGGCTTTTCATAAAAGAAATTGGTTACAAAATTGATCCCTGTTCCCAAAAATCTTCAAAATATTTCCATTAGGTATAACTGAAAAAAAAAAAAAAAAAAAAAGTTATATATAAATAAAAGATTATATAAATAAAAAAGATTATATAAATAAAAAAACAGAAAAAGATTATATATAAATAAATTGGTATTTTATTAGAGAAAATATATAAATTTAAATTGTTTTTAAATATTTATTTACTAATAACCTGTATTACAAGCTAGTAATATTCAACTAGATGTTATTAATACAGCTCAATTCAATATCAGTAAACTACTTGTGCTATAAATAAATTAAGAGCTTCATGGTTTTTTGTTGTAGAAATAACAAATCTAGGAAGAAAAAAAAGCAAGCCGCGTGATTACAAGGCTGTTACACCCAACATCCTGCTGACACTAAATGACAGCTGCATTGAGAATACAGTTGCAGTCAACATTAAGCCAGAATCAGTCAAAACATGCATCAAAGATATTGTTGCAGCTGATGCCAATCCAGCAGCAAACAAAACCTGCATTGATAACACAGTAGAAGATAGCTAGCTGCTACAAATAAATAATGAATTTTGACATTAATCAATGAATACATTGTGAACAGTGATCTGGAAAATAGCTTTATTATAGACATTAGTAGTGGCAACTTTCAAATTGCCTTTTTATTGAAATGTACAACCAATACTGGTAGAAATTGAAAACAGGCAACTTCAACAAGTTCAAACATCCATAACTTCCAATAACCAGACAGCCCAATATTTCTAGCAACCATTTAATTTGTGGATGAGAAAATGGTCGACATTGACATCAAACAAGCATTGATGACACAGTTGCAGTTGACACCTAGCCAGAAACAATACCTGGCAAAGACAGCAGCCCAGATGTAAGAAGAGAATAATAGAACCGGCAAACAAATACAACTGCTAGAAAAGTGAAAAAAACAATAGAAAGATAAAGAAGTTACAAGGTAAAGTTCATCTAAACTCAGTTGGTCATGCTACGGGTGACAAGAACTCTTTACAGTTTGCCTGTAGGTGTAAATATAAGCGCTCAGAATAGGTGATGCTAGTTAAATACTGTTTTGTTTATTCATTGGGGAACTATGCAATGCAAAAAATAGTTCACTGTGAATAACACCATTGCATGTAAGGTTCATAATAATTGTAGTATGACAGCACAGAAAAGTATCTATTACTTACTTTTTATGTACTGAACAAAGTAAAGTACGCGTGTGTAAGCTGTTTTTATTGAATCTTGTAATAAGTAACAGATCTGTGTTGTCAGCAATAACATAAGTGGACTTGGATGGTTTGTTCTATGATATTGATGGCAGAGAGAAAAAGTTACAGCTAATAGAACACTTAATGTAATGAAAAATTTAATTGTTTAATGAATAATATAAATGCTTCCCTGACTTGAAAAATCAGTAATCAGCACATCAAACCTAAACCAACAATGGCTAGTCATTATTGTCATAAAGGAACACGCTATCTTTACCTCAACAGTAACATTACAAAAATGTTTAATCTGACAATTTAAAGACATTTTTAGCTTCTAATTTTAGGTGCAAGCCGACAAATATTGCTACAAACCAGCATATATTCTATGAATGTTATAATTTTAGCATGTACAAACCAAAAAAGGATCAATGTTGAGAATGTGCAAAGTATACTATTATGTTAGACAGAAAAGCAGAATAGCATAGAGGAATAAAATGCAGAATAGCATAGAGGAATAAAATGAAGAAGTCATCAAAGGTAACAGATAGAGAGAGTTCTTTTATTTCATCAGAAATTCTTTCAGATTAAATACATTTGATCTACAGTCAGTTTTGCAAACACTGTGTTTAAAAGTGTTACTAATGTTCTATATAAAGCAAATTGAAGTGTTATAGTATAGCAGTATAAGATCAAGTGTCACCAAATGATGCCTACAATTACTTATGGATGGAGGTCAATGGACAAAGAGGTAGTAATGAAATAGGAAAATTTCTTCTACAATACTTCAGAGATCTTCCAGAACATTTAAAGGAAGTGTCATTGTTTTTGATACATGTAGTAGCCAAAATAGGAACCAGCATGTAACATCAATCTTGGTTTATGCAGTAAAAAAAATTGCTAATTTGTATTATTGCTACATTGTAGAAAAGAAATTTCTTGAAAGAGGACACACATACATGAAAAATATGTTAAAGTTTTCTCTATCTGGATGGAAGTCAAAAATTGAAACTGCAAGACATAGAAGACAATATAAAGTTTAAACTGTTGTTCATTTAATTATAAATGAACAACAGTAAACTTGTGGATTGAAAAAAACTAAGTGGCATGCTTATGAAGGATAAAAACTATGATGAGAATGGTGACATTAAATTTGCTGAAAATAAGTGTTGAGACCTTTTCAAGAAATCACTTGTGAGCAAATGCAGAAGCAAAAGGGGTCCACAAAAGCATGTATAACCCTGTCTAAAACCAGCACAAAAAGCATTATTACCCATTTTGGTTGCAAAAAAGAATGATCTATTTTGCTTATGTAAATTAGGCATCACTCACTGAAAATAAACTGTTTTTTCAGAACTTCCTGTACCAATCGCAATAACTGAAGTCTTATTAACTGGGATACCAACAGTGAATAGACCGAATGTCAGTAATAGTTCTGATTATAAAAGTAGTAAAAGTTACAATACTGTATGAAAACAGCAAATAATATTAAAATAAAATTGATTATTTTATATTATTGGGTATTCTTTATTTTGTGCATCACCTGTGTAATGCAAAGCAAACATGCAGTGAAGTAATAAAGCTCATGAAGCTTAACTACTATACTGCATGACCTGTTCATGATGTTAATTCTGGCCATTAAAATTAAAGTTTTGACAATATTAATTAAATTTGTATTAATTATTTAAAAATGTTAAAAAAGCTTGAAACATCAATTATGAATTGAGTATAAACATTGAGTATAACAGTTGCTCAATTTCTCAACTAAGAAAATAACCAAATGGGTTCTTGCTTTGAGGTGACAAGATCTATATATATATATATATATATATATATATATATATATATATATATATATATATATATATATATATATATATATATATATATATATATATATATATATATATATATATATATATATATATATATATATATATATATATATATATATATATATATATATATATATATATATATATATATATATATATATATATATATATATATATATATATATATATATATATATATATATATATATATATATATATATATATATATATATATATATATATATATATATATATATATATATATATATATATTATATATATATATATATATATATATATATATATATATATGTATATATATATATATATATATATATATATATATATATATATATATATATATATATATATGCATGGTTGCATGGGTGATTGCACAGTTATAAATCAATACTGTTATTTATTCAATCAACCGAAATTAGTTTTTTCTAAATTAATCAATAATAGTATAAAATCACTTAATCAGAAACATTAAAAACTAAATTTTTGACAAAAATTTAGACCATTTTGACAAAATTTAGGTGATTTTTAAAATTTGAAAAAAAAAATATTTCAAAACTTTATTTCAATATCTTAAAAAAAAATATTGTTTTTCTTTAAAAAAACTTTTAAATATTTAAACTTTGAATTCAGAGGATCTGCACATCGGGTGTTAAAATACATTTAAAAAAAAAAAAAAACTTGATTAGTATAATTTGGACAAAATGCTTAAAAAAAGCAATTACATTTTACCATTGAAACCTAATGATTTATAAAAATCATAAGATTTCTAAAAACATAATAAGATTTAAAAGATTTATATAAAAAAAAGTAAACCACATACAAAATCAATAGTGACACATGCTAACCAATTCAATGATTTTTGATTTCCAAATGCCACTCCATACATGAAAACAATAATGCCACAAGCAAGAATATTTCCAACACAAATGAACCATGCCATATACAATTTGCATTTTTCAATAGAAATTAACAGTTTTTTTTTGTTTGGGTGTGAGTCTGTAAAATAGATAAATAGTTAATTAAACTGGAAATTCATTTCACCCATAAACAAAGTGCAAGTAATAAAAGAAAAATGTTTACCATTGTTTTCTAGGAGATGTACACAAGCATATGACTCTTTTCGAACAACATTGTTTGTATCACAAGTTAAGCAATTATGTGTATTGTTTCTTGGAGATTTTCTTATTGAACAAAATAACTTCACAAGTATAAAATTTACTGGAAACTTAATGCAAGTGGAAATTAATACCACAAAAACCTAAATTTATTTTATATTAAAAAAATGTTTAATTGAGATGCATAAATAATAAATAGTATATAGAAAATAAAATAAAAACATAAAAATATTCTATGAATAAAAAATTTTCTTATTGAACAAAATAACTTCACAAGTATAAAATTTACTGGAAACTTAATGCAAGTGGAAATTAATACCAAAAAAACCAAAATTGTTTTTTAAAAGTCATTTCTTAATTAAACTTACCTATGGCTAGTGATCCAGACATTATACCTGTCATAGTCTTACAAAAGTATTCTTCAAAAAATCTTCAATTCTCTCTAAACTAATTAGTAAATGCATGACTACATCTTGTTTTCTGGACTACAGGAACATAGCTTCTGTAGTGCTAATTTTTTTAAACTATAGAGAACATTCTGACCCCTCCAACTATAGTCCAATCAGTCTTCTATCTTTTGTCAGCAAGGTCTTTGAGTCTGTGGTTAACAAGTTTCAAACATCCCATTTTGATTCAAATAACTGTGTGACAATCAATATGGTTTTCAATCTCCTCATTTTATAGCTGACTTGCTAACCATGGTGACTATAAGATTCTATTGTGCATTAGATGGAGGCAGCAAAGCAAGGGCTATTGCTCTTGATATATCTAAAGCTTTCAATAAATTTGGGCATGCTGGTCTTCTCCATAAGCTTTATATTGTGTATCTGGTAAAGTTTTTGAGATAATCAAATTATTTCTTACTAACCGCTTTATCAAAGTCATCCTTGAAGGCCAACACTCTTCTTTATTTCCAGTAACTTCTGGGGTACCTTAAGGTTCTATCTATGCTCATGTATTGTTTCTTATCTACATTATGATCTTTCTGACAACCTTACATCTAAAGGGGCTTTATTTGCTGATGACTCAACTTTATACTCATGTCTTGACAAAAAATCTGCTGATTTCGATTGCTTAGAATTTTAACTCAAACTAAACTCAGTTATTTAATGCAAACAACTATTACAATACTGTCGATATTCCTTCCCAGTGGGCACCGGATTAAAAAAAGACGTCTTTTAAACCTTCAGAAGACGTCCAAAACGTTCAAAAGACATTCAAAAAACGTCCAAAATGTGTATAAGACATTTAAAAGAAATCTATTTTACGTCCGTGTCCACTGAGTTTATTAATGAATTGCAAATCTCTCACTGAGTCCTCTTCTTTACTTCTTGTTGGATTATCATTCACTACAAAAAGTTAGCATCTGCTAATGATGCTTCTCTTTATTGCAAGCCTTACCAGGAAACAAGTGCGGTTTTTCCTTTTGCATGACCACACATGAGTATTTTATTTTAGACAACTTGGTCATGACCGTTTATAAGTTTTTCTACAAGTTTTAAAAACAAAAAATTGCAAAAGTAACAAAATAGGAAGTTAAAAAAAATTCGAACAGAAAAAAAAATAAATAAATAAATAAAAACTTAAATAATTTGTGTACTGTTTTTATTTTTGTGTCTTTAGAGTAATTGTTATTTTCAGCAACAAAGATTGATAAAAAAAGATAAGACAAAGCAAAAAAAAAAAAAAAAGTTTCAATTCGACAGAAAAAAAAATGATTTTCTTTTATTTAATTTTTTTTTGTTTTTTTTAAAAGAAGCAAAATCATAAATTGCAATCTGTTTGTAAAATATATTTGAATAATTTTAATGTAACAAGTATATGTTGTCCCTAATGAAAACGTTTATGTGCATGCATAAACTTTTATATATAACTTTTTGTATTATATAATGATATTTATTTATAACAAAGTGCACACAATTTAGCCTATTTGGATAAGACATTTACTTCATAATCAGAATGTATATGGTTCGAAACCCACCTCATCCTAAGTTTTTTTTGTTTTATTACATAGGCACAGAGCTGAATGTTAAACATGTCTGCTAAAAGTTTGGGGATAAAAAACTTACATGAAAATAAAGGTAATATGAAACAATTAAGGTTGTGTGAAAAATGTATAGACAAGATGGCATAATTAAAGCTTAAAAACTATGTATATATGTATGTGCGTCATTCAAAACCATATAAGAAAAAGATTCTTTATATCCAAATAAAAATATAAATTGTTACAAAGCAAACATATGATCAGCAGTATTTAAATGAAAAATAAAAAAAGTTAGACAATTCCAGGAATTGAACCAAGGACATTCTGTGTATGAAGTTAACACCTTATCCAAATAAGCTATACACACAAATACCTCGTTACAAATAAAAACTATTATTAAAACAAAAAGTTATACATAAAAGTATACATAAAAGTATATACTTCATTACAAATAAAAATTATTATCAAAACAAAAAAGTTTTACATAAAAGTGTAATTTATAAGAAAATCATCTATTGATATTAATTATATATAACCATCTAATAAGAATATTTGTATAAGTAAATGAACATTTAACCTTACTAATTATATCTGTATTATAAGTTAAATTACTTTCAAAGATTTAACCAAAAAAATTAAATTCGCCAACAAAAATTCACATTCTGTAAAAATAAATTAAGGAAAGTTGTTTTACACAGTTTGCATTTCTATTTTAAATAACAAATGGCAGTTTGACCTTCACTATGTCCCTGGTAGTATTGTGCTTAACTTGTTTCTCCACGCAGCATCCCTTCAGAAAGGTTCTTGTTTTGGAGTTGAAGAGTTGAGAAAGAGTTGCAACCACAATAAGTGTTTCTTATACTTCAGTCAATAAGTAGCCTTCTTGACAGAAGTGGCTTTTTTACTTGGCCTTGGGGAGGTAAATAACAAACAAACAAATAAAAAAAGTTAGTTTAAATAACACAAAAATTTTTAATAACATTCTATAAACTTAATTTGAAACTTATAATTTTTTGTGAAAAAATTTGTTTCTTGTTTAATTGCTTGCAGTGCTAACAAATTTTTTGTTAAATTTAATATAATATGTATAACTCAAAAACTTTTTTTTGATTTGAATTAAAATCTTAATTTGTTAAAGATTCTTATTTTTAAAAATAATTGAGAAAATAAAACAAGTTTTAAAACCTTTTTAATAGCTTTTAAAATACATAAAACAGTGAAATCCAACAAAAAATTTAAAAACGTTTTTTATTTGTTGTATACATTTTAAAGCTATTTTTTTATGTTTTTTATGAAACACTTTATTTATAGTGTTTTATTAAAAAAAAAAAAAACTGAGTTCATAATGGTAAACAATATATGTGTAAACTACGCAATTGCAAACAAAATTGAAAAATGTTTTTTGTTAATAAAAAGCTTTTTTAAATGTAAAATGTTATTGTAAAATTTAATTTATTAAATAAATTTAATTTATCAAATTAATTTAATTTATCAAATTAATTTAATTTATCAAATTAATTTAATTTATCAAATTAATTTAATTTATCAAATTAATTTAATTTATCAAATTAATTTAATTTATCAAATTAATTTAATTTATCAAATTAATTTAATTTATCAAATTAATTTAATTTATCAAATTAATTTAATTTATCAAATTAATTTAATTTATCAAATTAATTTAATTTATCAAATTAATTTAATTTATCAAATTAATTTAATTTATCAAATTAATTTAATTTATCAAATTAATTTAATTTATCAAATTAATTTAATTTATCAAATTAATTTAATTTATCAAATTAATTTAATTTATCAAATTAATTTAATTTATCAAATTAATTTAATTTATCAAATTAATTTAATTTATCAAATTAATTTAATTTATCAAATTAATTTAATTTATCAAATTAATTTAATTTATCAAATTAATTTAATTTATCAAATTAATTTAATTTATCAAATTAATTTAATTTATCAAATTAATTTAATTTATCAAATTAATTTAATTTATCAAATTAATTTAATTTATCAAATTAATTAATTTATCAAATTAATTTAATTTATCAAATTAATTTAATTTATCAAATTAATTTAATTTATCAAATTAATTTAATTTATCAAATTAATTTAATTTATCAAATTAATTTAATTTATCAAATTAATTTAATTTATCAAATTAATTTACTTTATCAAATTAATTTAATTTATCAAATTAATTTAATTTATCAAATTAATTTAATATATCAAATTACTTTAATTTATCAAATTAATTTAATTTATCAAATTAATTTAATTTATCAAATTAATTTAATTTATCAAATTAATTTAATTTATCAAATTAATTTAATTTATCAAATTAATTTAATTTATCAAATTAATTTAATTTATCAAATTAATTTAATTTATCAAATTAATTTAATTTATCAAATTAATTTAATTTATCAAATTAATTTATTTTATCAAATTAATTTAATTTATCAAATTAATTTAATTTATCAAATTAATTTAATTTATCAAATTAATTTAATTTATCAAATTAATTTAATTTATCAAATTAATTTAATTTATCAAATTAATTTAATTTATCAAATTAATTTAATTTATTTAATTAATTTAATTTATTAAATTAATTAAAATTAAATTTTAAAAATTGTTTTTATGAATTAATAAATGGGTGTATAGCAGCAATGTTTAGAGTTTCCAAACATTTACAATGTTTGCAATAATAAAAACCGTTAAATTTACAAAAAATAATTTATAAATAAAAAAACCTGTGTCCAATTAATTATGAAGTTGCCAACTTTATTTTCTACTGCTGGATCTGCTTGAGAAACACTGTGATAAAACATTGTGCTAACCATCATGGAAGTCATAATTAAAGATACTGCAACAGATAACCTTTGACATCTAGTAAAGTTACTTTTAGGCGAACGAAAAAAGATTGAAAACCATAAATGCTCATTATGCAATTTATGCTGTGCTTTATTTTTAAAAACAAAAAGAGAATTAGTTGATTCTTCAAATGATGCTACTGGTATAACACAGTCTAACTTACACAAGCCACGATCCACAGCAATCCAGCAATTGACAATGAACACAAACCTTTTCTCAGTTTGAAAGTCAATGATTATAACATTTCTAAATATTAAAGTAAAAACCTTAATAGGAAAGCAATTTCAAATTTATTTAAATAATTAAAAAAAAAGGAAAAATTCTTCATAAAAAATTTGTAGTGGTGGTGTAGTGCTAGAATGCTAGCATTGAAAGCAAAAATTCTAAAGTTCTGTTCTCCACCATGTCCTTTGGTACTGTAGAACTGCTGCCCTCTCTGGAAAGCTAACTTGTTAAACAAATGTTTAGAAAAACCTTGTTCAACAAAGTTATATATTGAAAATTATGCATTAAAAATGAGTGTTTTGTAATGAGACTCATAACTCAGCAGGTATTTGATCAGTTTGAAATAAATTTTACCTGACAGCCTAAACCTAGACTGCATATGAGTTTATTAAATTATTCTTTATTAAATTACTTTTTATTAAATTACGTAATTATTAATTCAATATCAACTGCCGGAGTGTGAAGACATTTTAATCCAAAATTTTAAACATGGCTGAGTTTGTGCCTACAAAACTGCTTTTGCAGAGAATTCTTTTACATTACTTCCACTGAAAGACAACAGCAGCTGAGGCACAGAGAATATGAGTAGAAACATACCACAACAAAGCTCTTTTAGAACAAACATGTAGAAGATGGTTTCAACAATTCAAGAGTGGTGATTTTGATTTCCAAGATAAAGATCATTTTGCTGCTGAGAATATGTTTAAAGATATCAAATTGGAGGCGTTTTTTTTATGAAAATCAATGCAAGAGAGAGGAAAAGCTTGCAGTATCATTAGGAAACAACTAATCAACAGTTTCTAGGTGCTTGAAATAACAGGGAATGATTCAAAAGCGTTAAATTGGCTTTCATATGAATTGAAATTGAGGAACATTGAAAGATGATTTTTTACTTGCAAACAGATGGTTGCGTGCCAAAAAGTAAAGGTTTTCTTCATTGACTTGTTACTGGTGATAAAAAGTGGATATATATAAATATATATATATATATATATATATATATATATATATATATATATATATATATATATATATATATATATATATATATATATATATGTATATATATATTTATACATATATATATATATATATATATATATATATATATATATATATATATATATATATATATATATATATATAAATATATATATATATATATATATATATATATATATATATATATATATATATATATATACACAGCGCTGCAAGCAACCACTAACTAGTGTTGGAAGTTACTGGAAGAGAAAAGATGAAGATTGTACAGCAAGATAACGATTGACAGACGACTTAAAAGATTGCAAATTATATGAATCAGGAAAGCAAGATGAAGGAAGCGAATTCCAAAGAATTGATGTTCTAGGAAAAAAAATTGACAAGTAAGAGTTTTTAGAGCATTTAGGAACAGAAACAGAAAAAGGATGAGACTTAATTGAATGACGAGTAACACGAGAATGAATTTTAGTAGATGGTACAAGAGACGCTAGCTCTTTAGAGCAATACCCATTATAATATTTGTAGAAAAGAGAAAGAGAAGCAACATTACGACTATGTAACAGAGGTTGAAGGTTGGCTGCAAGAGAAGGACCAACAATGTTTACAATGCGTTTTTGCACCTTGTCTAAAAGAAAAAGGGCATCATTAGAAAATCCGCCCCAGATATGGCAACAGTATTTCATACAAGGCCGGATTTGAGATTTATAGAGATAGAATCCAGAGTAAGAAAGAGACGAGCTTGATAAAGAGAAGCAACTTTAGCAGATGCTAATTTTGCAACAGATTTGATATAAGGTTTCCAAAAAAGATCAGAAGTAAGAGTTAATCCTAGAGGATAAAGGGTAGGAGAATCATCGAGTACATTACCGTTCATAAAAATAGGAAGGTCTAAACTATTGCGATAACGATTGGCCAAAAATAATTGAGTTTTATCTGAATTAAAGTTCACCAGCCACTGTGAGCCCCATGCTGAAGCAGAAGTGAGATTCATTTCAAGCTCAGATGCCCCCTGCAAGCAATCAGAGGGAGTTGGCTTCTTATCGTGACAAGAATAAATGGTAGTATCATCAGCAAATAATGCCACCTTGTGTGAGAATATCTGGAAGAGCGTTAATGTAAATTAAAAAGAGTATAGGGCCATGGATTGAACCTTGAGGAACCCCTGAGGTTACAGAATAAGAAGAAGAGTGCTGTCCATCAAGGACAACTTTTATACTACGATTGGAAAGGAAGGATTCAATAATCTTAAAGATGTTTCCAGATACACCGTAAAAAGAAAGCTTATGGAGAAGACCAGCATGCCAAAAATTATCAAATGCTTTAGGAATGTCAAGAGCATTGGCCTTAACCTCTCCACCTTTATCTAATGCGCAATAAAACATATCGGTTATTACTGATATCAAATCAGCCGTAGAACGAGAAGATCAAAATCCATACTGATGATCAGAAAGTAGGTTATGAGATTCGAGATGAGAGATTAAGTGTTTCTTAATTAAAGATTCAAAAACATTGCTTATGATAGGAAAAAGACTAATGGGACGGTAGTTACACGAATCAGATCGCTCTCCAGAATTTTTAAAAATAGGGATAACAGATGCTGCTTTCCAGCAGGCTGGAAAACAAGACTCTGATAAGCACTTGTTGAATAGTTTTGAAAGGATAGACGACAGCTCCAGAGAACACTTCTGCAAGACTATAACAGGTATGTTGTCCGGGCAGCAAGCTGTAGAAGAGTCTAAGCGGCAAATCACTATAGATACAGAAGCTGGAGCTATACCAATGTTGAGCAATAGATCAATCTGTTTGACGGCTATATCAGGTAGAACGCAACTAGTGGCATCAAGAGATGATATTGATGAAATGTTCTTGGCAAACAATTCAGCTTTAGGTGAGGTGACAAAGTCTGAACCATACAAAAGAGGTGGAATTACAGACTTGACCTTATTATTGATACTATTGAAGATTCTCCAGAAGTCACGAGAGCCTAATTTTTGTGATGAAATACGAGTATTCATGATCTGAAAATAGCGGGCTTTGGCATTAGACAAAACCTATTTAAAATGGTTCCTAGCAGTAATAAACAGATGTCTGTTTTCTGGAGAATTGTTTTGTTTTTGCTAAAATTGTTATGCTGATAGATATGGAAGTAATGGTTTAGATTGGCAACTGTAGCAGCACAATGTGAGGAAAACCATGGAGAAGAGTGAGGCTTGACCTGGAATTGTAGAGAGAAAATAAAAGATTCCATGCCAGTCTGAATCCACGAAGTTATGTAAGAAGCAAATTTGTAAACAGGGAGATGAAAAATTTCTACCCAGGGGCCATCACGAAAAAAATAATTGAAAGAGTCCCAGTCAGCTTTAAGGTAGTTGTAAGACGTACGATGATAGGGGGATTCTGATGGTAAAAAAGAATAAGATAATAGTTTGCGAGAGACCAAGCCATGATCAGAAGCACTTAAGGGGGGAGTGTGAAGAAACTGAGCACTGACTAAGATCAGTAACAAGACATAAGTTGGGTAGAGAAGGTAAATGATTCGGGTTGTCTGGAAAGCGAGTTGGAAAGTTGAATATTTGAGTTAGGGATTGAGAAAGACAAAAGTTGTGGGCCTTAATGCCTGCAAAGTCACTGACACTAGAGCCAAGCCATTTAGTGTGATGAACATTAAAGTCACCGACAACAACAATATTGGCTGATGGATAAAGAATGAGGGCTTGGTCAATATAACCAGAAATAACATCAAGAAGAGTGCAGTCTTGAGATGAGGGAGAGCGATATAGAACAAAGAAAAAGGTGATAGAGTAAAGTGGTGCTAAATGAAAGCACATAAAAGAGTAGTCTGTGGATTCAAACCTAGTTTCCCGACAAATAGGTGAATTCTTACGAATGTAAATGCCTACACCAAGCATGTGACTATTGGAGTCTTTACAAATTAAAGGAAGATAACCATCAACACTAAGATCACAAGATGAGACAGCTGAACTCGAATTAGTTTCACAAATAGGAAGTAGGTCTGGTGAACTTTGCATTAGATAAGACTCAACAGAGGAAAAGTTACTTCGAAGACCACGGATATTGGTGAATGATAGGTTTAGCAAACTTGGTGATGACTGTGGTTTTTTGTGTTTTATAGTTTTTGCTACTTTATTCATTTTTAAATTTGTTAAAGAACTTGACTCGAAACATAGATAGTACTCAATACACTGTCTTATAGCTCAAGCAATTGCCTCATTTCCACTAATAAATCCTGAGCCGTAACAAAGGGCTCCAATGTGGCCTTGGCAATGCACACCAAAAGTACAAACGGGGACACCATCCATGCACAACATGGCACTGTTAGTACTCTGATATTTTTCAGCTGTTGATGGAATCAGCCTCTCTGAGAGCTACCACAGAGTTCAGGAAACCTAACTACCAGCGGGCCTCAGAACCATAAAACTGAGTTTTAGAGTTGTACCCTCATTTGGAGATAATAGAATGAGTTGCTTAGTCATAAAAACAGAGACACAAGCAAAACCCATACATCGAGTCAAGAAGATCCAGCGTTCAATATCCTAAACTGGAAACAATGTATTAAAAATACATCTACGCCAGCCTAATAGAAACTATTTATGGTAAAAAAAACGAACAAGATTAAACAATAACACAAGTGCAAGTTTAATTAATTTAGTATTGAAATAGAATTGAATTTTTTGCTTCAGTTGTCTTATTTTTGCTTCAGTTGTCTTAATCAAATAAATCTTACTTGATGTTTTTACAAAATTAAATATTTTCTGTAGTTTTAATTTTCTTATAGTGATTTTTCTAATTTTCTATTCTTATTTCATTTGCACATTTTTATATTCGAATTATGTTTCTACCTGCACTTGGTTAATGTAATTAACAAAATTATTAATTATTACCAACTTTAGAATATTTATTCATTACATAAGTGCAAAATAAGCAGAAAGAAAGTGACCTAGTGCTTTTTACATTTTATATACATAGTTATATTATATAAACATTATATAAACATAGTTGATATATGCATTTAAAAATAATTTTACTATTAAAATAAATTTTACACAAACATTTACTTTATGCTGTACCTATCCTTATTGAATCATGGCAATAGACAACAACAATTATTTTGGTTATTATTTATAAAATACATTTTTTATGATCAATTTAAACTGTTTAAAACTTTTTGTATAATATGTTTTATAAATTTGATTTGATTCAGTAAAGGAAAAAACATTCATACTTTTTTAACTTACGTTACGTAAATTAGTTAATGTTTTTAACTTTTTTTAATATTATAGATGTATGAATAATAAAAAAGAGTTAGAGATTTTTAAATAATGTTACATAAGTGTTGTTAGTTAAAAACATTAGTTTTAACTGCGTTATTAAAAAAAAATTCTGTAGAAAAAAAGAACACAATAACATTGTTCAAAAACAGTTTCTTTTATTTTAATTAAGTTTTTCAAGTTTAATTTTTTTTATTTTTTGTTTTCAATTTTTTTAGGTTATTATTATTATTTTTTTTATATTCTCGTAGTATAGTTTTTTAAGCGCATTTTTGAAATAATTAAATATCAACATTTAACAATCAATTTAATAATTAAATATCAACATTGAAAAAAAATCTCTATAATGAATACTTATTTTGATTATAAACAATAAATATTACAAACAATAAAAATTGAAAAGAAATATTACAAACAATAAATCAAATAAATCTTACTTGATGTTTTTACAAAATTAAAAATTTTCTGCAGTTTTAATTTTCTTATAGTGATTTTTCTAATTTTCTATTCTTATTTCATTTGCACATTTTTATATTCGAATTATGTTTCTACCTGCACTTGGTTAATGTAATTAACAAAATTATTAACTATTACCAACTTTAGAATATTTATTCATTACATAAGTGCAAAATAAGCAAAAAGAAAGTGACCTAGTGCTTTTTACATTTTATATACATAGTTGTATTATATAAACATTATATAAACATAGTTGGACCTGCTCTTGCAACCAACCTTCAACCTTTGTCACATCGTCGTAATGTTGCTTCTCTTTCTCTTTTCGACAAATACTATAATGGACACTGCTCTAAAGAGCTAGCGTCTCTTGTGCCATCTACTAAAATTCATTCTTGTGTTACTCGTCATTCAGTTAAGCCTCATCCTTTTTCTGTTACTGATCCTAAGTGCTCTAAAAACTCTTATTTATCTTTCCCCTCCAGTAACTTTCAACACTATTTAGTGGTTGCTTGCAGCCTTGTTGGAAGCGAAAATGTTTAAAAAAAAAATTTGCGCACTTAGATAATATTATATCTTTAGTTAAAAACTTTTATTAAAATAATTTTATAAAAAATCAAAAAACAATATATTATTTGTTCTGCCCCAACTTTTTGGATGAGCATAATTTATACTCTTGTTATAAGCTGAATAAGCCTTGTTTATTGTGCCTAGAAGGTTTCAAAATACCATTTACAGGCACGTTTCACAAGCGCGATGCAACTGTTTCGGCTTTATCACAAGCCCTGATTTTCCCATTTAACATGAAAAATTTTTCAATTAATATAGTCTTGATTGCTTTTATAGAAAAGTTTTTATAAACAGATTTTATGAACAGATGAATTTTATATACAAAAATTTTAATTGTAAATTAAATCATTTAAAATAGTAGTATGTAATAACAAAACATGTCAAGAATAAAGAATATTGTGTTATCTTTAACATACACACATACATTTCAGAAATATATCAGAAACGATAAGTCTTTTGAAACACAGTGTAAAAATAAAAAAAATTTGATAAGTGATTTGCTACTAATTTAATTATTGCTTTATTCTTTTAAAAACATTGAAAATTTTGTAGTATATTTTCTCATATATTTAGATAGATAGAAAAATAAAAAGCATAATTATGTCAAAAAATTTTAAAACTAATTTTGAAAAAAGTATTCAAATAACCACTTACTTTACATACCAACCTCCACCACTATTATCATGCCACAACTGAATAAAATCTAAATCACCAAGAGTGCTCTGAGTAGCCATAATAAACATGTCACAGCTTGATCTTTGAAAACATTGTCTTTCTGGATCTTTTAAATGTCTTACTCCACTATCATTTAATTCGCCTGTTTGAATTATTATCATAAAATATTTCAAAATGTTGACTTTAATAAATCAGGTTAAATAGCAAACAAAAAATTAAATAAGCGAAAATAAGAAAGTAAAACAAATAAAATTTTAAAGAATAATAAGAAATTAATTTTTTAAACATATATATAATGCATCATATTTTTTTAAGGATATAAACCAGGATAAAAATGTAATGACTATTTTTTTCCAATATAAAAAGACTCAATTAATTTAAAATTTTATGAAAATTTTAAAAATCATACTATTAACTTTTACAAACAAAAAGTACAACATTAAAAACAAAACAAAGAAATATTGTTTAGAAAGAAATTTAGCTAACAGTATATCCTTGTATTATTAATAGCTACATACGCTGCAATATCTAGATAAGGACATGTAATAATAAAAGTATAATTTTTCAATTATTATTATAAATTTATCAGATCCAATAATAAAAGTTTGATTTTTTAAGAAATAAATAACAAATTGAATTAATAATGAGGAAAAAAAAAAGTACCCAAAAATCCTGTTAACTTGAACCTCCAATACATTATTCCTAAAGTTTAAAACAGCAGTGCCAAACATTGATAATAAAGTAAAACTTGCTATATAATTGAGTCAATTGTTTTATTAGTCTGGATTAGATCTGGAAATCAAAATACCCTTATTTAGATTAAACATATAGAGTCTTATTTGCAATAAGTGTTGCTGATAATGATAAGACACCAGTCTGTCTAAGTTTAACAAGATACACAGCCTATTAAAAAACATGTAAAGATATCTATGATGAATGTTAACAATTGTTAGGTGATTTCTTGGTCAACTCATATTAAAGACATAAACCATGATGGTGGAGGAGATCTGTGGAGGAGATCTATGGAGGAGATATATACGTGCAGAGTATTATAGTACTGATAAAAAAGATGTGTTCGAAGAAGAAACATTTTCTTTTTTAAAAAAGTTTATAATTTTATAGATGTTACAAGAGTAAAATGGTTTAAATATAAGTCAGTTATGTTTCAAAAGTTTAAGAGCAACAAAGAAAGTATTGATTTGAAGATTATAAAAGCAAAGATTTTGGAAGAAATTAAAATCAACATTAGACACACCACAATTAAAAACTAGCAAAGTTGTTGAGCCACTGTATTTAAAACAAGTTAGTCAAAGTGATTTTATATCAATTCTTACAATACTTAGATTTGATATTAATACTTACAATATATAATACAATATATATATATATATATATATATATATATATATATATATATATATATATATATATATATATATATATATATATATATATATATATATATATATATATATATATATATATATATATACATATATATATATATATATATATATATATATTTATATATATATATATATATATATATATATATATATATATATATATATATATATATATATATATATATATATATATATATATATATATATATATATATATATATATATATTTACAATATATAATAGATTACTTACAATATATAATACAAACATTTGATATCAAAACTTACAATACTTGATATCAATACTTATAATACTTAGTCAAAGTTATATGATTAATGAAGGGATTATAATAAATAATGGAATTAAAAATCCATTTACACCTAATATAAATGCATTCATTAATTATTGTGATGGAAATAACAGATCTTATAGTCTGGCCCCGGCTAGACTATAAGAATTAACCACTATTAAATTATAAGTTACTTTAAAATAAAGAATATGTAAAAACATTAGGAAATGGTTAATCGAAGACTTGAAAAGTTTTTGGTTGTATATAAAAGAAAAACATGAAGATGGCTAATAGTTTTAAGGTTTTTTCGATGTGCAAGGAAAAAAACTGGATTTATAAAACTTTTTATAGCATGAAGGGACAGATACATTAAAAGGATACAACTTGCTGAATAAGAAACAAGCAAGAATAAGTTTTGGTTTATCGTAATAGAGATGTTTGAGCATTAACCACGAGAAAAAAATAAAGAAAAGCAACCTTTCAACAATGGGAAAGTGGCTCAAGCTTGGCAGATAAAGCAGGTCTAATTTATTAATATTGTTGTTTTTTTATGTTAATTCACCTCACCAAGGCTAAAAACGCCACTACAGACAAGGAGCCTACTTAGTTGTGGTTATAACCCTCTCTCAACTATATAACTCGAAAACATGAACCTTGACAAGTTTGACTTAAAATTGAATAGTAAGAATAAAAGCTTGCGAACTTTTGTGAACTTTTTATCATCATCTCTTTCGGTAAATACCACACATAGCGTAGTGATAATGATGTTTATATATACATATATACACAAAACATAACATGAGTTTTGAATTGAAAAAATATACTTTAGGATGTATAAATGTTTATGCAGCCCGGGTGCAAACCCGGCCCCAGTTATATTTTATCAAACTCCGTCCCGACTCTGGTCAAGAATCAACCCTGGTTGTTTACTATGTGCATGTAAAAGAATTCCATTGAATGGAGCTAGTTCAAACTTTAGGAATGATAATGTTTACAATAAAATGCAATAAGAATATAACACTTATTCTGATAATGAGTCCACCTCAAATTTATCCAGTAGTGACGACTATAATATACAAGAACTTTAACAGAGGTAAATGATTTCAATATTTCACATATATTATTGCTTTGTTAAAAATATTTCAAAATGTTCAATTTCCTAAATATGCAAGAACTTTATTAGAAACACCAGATAAATTTTTACAAAAAGTAGACGCAGGTGGTATGTATTATTATGTTGGTGTTGTAATTGTTGAACTGTTAAACATAGAGTTATGCCCAAATAACAAATTTTTGAGCTTTTTTTCTTTTCCATGACAAAAGATATTGAAGATTTTTTTTTTGGATTTAATCCAAGATTAAAAATGCATGGTTTCCAGAGGGAAAGCAGCGAAATTCTTATCTACATAACATTTGTAAATTAAATTGTTAGCAAAAAAAAAAAAAATCTCACCTGCAACATTAAAAAAGATGTTTGATTTGGTGCCAGCATTTTTCTGAGAACCAGTATTTACAATGATTTGATACAAGTAAGTATCTTCATCCCGATTATCAGCAAGTGGACAAACACCAACCTGAAATTATAGTTAACATAACTTATAAAAAATTAATACATGATATAAAAAACTAATATATAAAAAATACTTCCGGAAAAAGTTGTATACCTGCAAGATTAAACATTTTCCTTATTGAATTAAACTTAATAATTTAAAAAAAAAAAGTACACCCTCAACACCCTGAATTAAAAAAAATTACACCGTGAATCATAAACTCTATTATATCAAAATTTAAAAGATACAAAATTAAGTATTAAAAAAAAAAATACAAATAAATTTCAGAATATTTACACAAATATTTAAGTAAAATGTTTTGCGACAAAGAAAACTCCAAAATTAAACTGATTTTATTAATTATTTTACACCTTAGAAAACATTGCCATCATTATGGACATAATTTTTCAAAGCCATTTTATGTTTCTTTTTGTTAGCAATCAAAAAAATTGTCTTGTTTTAATGTAAATGTTTAGTGCAGCTAAAACCAATTAAAACGATAAGATATGTAATAATTGTACAGAAAGTTGTAAAAAATTATAAAAAGAAATGAAATTAAAGAATTAGTTTTTTCATAGAGATTATGCTTTTTGTAAGTAAAACTTTTCAAAAATTCAAAATTTTCAGGTTATTTAGAAACTAATTTATATTTGGCTCAAAAAATTTTTCAGGTTGGTCAAGAAGCAAATATGGATAATTAGATATGGGTCAATTCATTACAGTTCAACCAAAAATAAAGGATACTATTTCTGATTGCCCTGATTTTTACATTTCTTTATTTGCATTCTGTAGATAGGTTAAATTTAAAAGTTCAGAATTCCAAATGCAATGGTTTTGAAAATATAACTCAATAAACACAACACATCAAATTATGAATTATAAAAACAAACAAAAATTTTTTAACTTTCAATAAGTGTCTCATTTTTCTAGAACTATTTTCTTTAAAATTATGGTTTATTTTAATTTAAGCCTTAAATTATTTTCTAAATTAGATTCTTTTTTTTCTAGATCTGTTTTTTAGTTAGATGTTTTAATTAACTTGCATCGTATTAGAAAAAAAGTATAACCTCTTTAACTTTAAAAAAATCTAAAAATTGATGAAAAAACAAACAAAATAAAAATAACTGTAGCTTTTTTCTATTCATTACAGGTAAGTTTTCTATTTATCTGCTATTGTCTGTTATCTACTGGAAAAAAAAGCAGCATTTTGCTATTTAAAATTTAAATCTAAAGCTAAATAAAAAATTGTCCATTTTCAAGAAAAGTCTGAAAAGCCATTTTAAGTTAAAAATATATATATATAAAAAAAAAAAGAGCATGATTTAAAGGTCCGCTGCAACAGTATTCCATCGCTGCAGATATGGCAACAGTATTGCATACAATGATGAACTAGAGTTATATAGAGATGAAGAAATTGGTGAATATGATAAAGAGGTGCAACCTTAGCAGATGCTAATTTTGCAAAAGATTTGATATATGGTTTCCAAGAAAGATTGAAAGAAAGAGTTATTTCTAGAAAACAAAAAGCAGATGACTCAACAAGTACATTACCATTCATAAATATAGAAAGACCTAGATTATTGAAAAAATGATTAGCTGAAAAAAATTGAGTTTTATCTTATTAAAGTTATAACTAGGCTATAACAATCAAAACTTCCAGCAGGCACAGACGCTCATTGATGCCTAGATTAACTAAATAGATTATACGATAATAGATAAACTTGCATTTCAATAAATTTTTCAAATAATATATTTAATTATTTATTTACTAATAAACTGTAATACAGGTTGCTTACTACTAGTTGTTATTACAAGTAATTTTAATCATAAATCAATGGAAACATTTAAAAAAATAAAAAATTACCTTGGAGATATCTTGTCTATCTAATCTTCTTGTGATTAACAGTCCAAGCAACCATAATGAAATTACTGTTATAACTGTTATAAGTAATACATATCCTTTTTTTATTTTTGATATAGAAAGTGTAGGTAAACGATTGGGAGCAACAAATAATCCGCCAAAAGTTGTCAAATGATTGCATTTACATTTGGTTATTAAAAAACTTGTGTGATCAACATCAAGCTATAATAATTATTAATATATTCTTAATTTGAATTTTTAATAGAGACAGCGCACTAAAAATTTAAGCAACAAAATTTCAAAAATTATTAGAATATCAAACAAATCAAAAAGCTATTTGAACATGCGCACAATAATGTAACTATATTATTCACTCATTCACTGCTATTTTAACTATGCAAATATTGCTTGGGGTAGTACTAAACTTGAGCCTTTTGATTGTATTCAGAAACATATAGCAGGTTTAGTTAATTCTTGTGATCGACAAACTTATTCAAAGCTCTACTTAAAGGGATCCCAAACTCCCAACACATGTTGTGTTCATATTAAAAATAATGTTAAAAAAAAAGGTTTGAACCAAGTTTTTTTGATTAAAAATAAATAACGAATGCATATCGAGAAAAACTAATGTTGTTTTTTTAGCCGAAGCTCACCTTGTCCATTTTTTTCAACAACGAGGAGTCTTTAAATTATACGTTGCAAACTACAGACTTTGGCAATTCCTATGAAGCACGTTAAATTCATAAAAGTTTTAGCATTTGATGTCACGGTAGATTTTTAACAATATAAAAGTGTAATTAAACAAAGCTGTGATTTCTACTTTAATTCAAAAAGTACGATGTAGTAATTTTTTAACATACAGCTAAACAACTCTTACAAGTTTTTGTAAAAATCTAAAATAATAAAAGCTTTTTATTTCATAGGAGGAGCTTTTTTTTTACCAATATCTTAATAATTTTTAGATTTATATATCTTACTTATAATTCTTTTGTTTTTAAATTAAAACAAATATCAAAGCTTTACTTACAAATCTTACAATTTTCATATGAGTGTTTTACATTATATAAAACGTTAAATATATGGTCTCTTATTTTTGCGCAAGAGAACGCAGTAATATATATTCTGATTTTTACTTATTTTCTTTTAAACAATGGGAACTATTTTTTAACTTCTCTAATTATTTTTAGGCAATGATATTTTTTGTTTTCCCGTCGAAAAAAATTATTTATTAACAATTAATTTCATAAACTGACAGTATTAATTAGAGATTATAAAATTTTTTCTGACTAAAACCTGCTAAGGTTATGAAAAAAAAGTACAAGAATACACTAAACAATACAGTTGACAGTAGTATCAGATATGAAAATTCGTATAAGGATACGTGAGATCCTGGTTTTGCTAGTACAATTAATAGCAACACAAGTCAGTAATATAAATTTTGATTATAAGTTTACTGTTCAATATTTTATAACCATCAAATAAAAAACATGAAGTTTGTATATTTTCCCCAGTTTTATACAACTAATATTTAACAAAAATTGTTATTATATAACACAATAATTAACACATTAATTAATGACAATAATTCAAGATGAATGGTAATTTAAATTGTTAAAATGTCATAACGCGCGTTAAAAAACATATATTTGGTATTTCCCAATTTGTGTCATATTTGGCATTTGTCTCTTAACATGAAAAATTAAAAAAATTTTAAAACACAACAAATACAAATTTTCAAGCAATTTTCTCTTCCAATTTTCATTTATTCAAAGAAAAGGTACTATTAAACTTTTATTTCTCTCATCTAAAATAAGAACGAGTGACGCAAAAAAAAAAAATCTATACAACTCTTATTCATTCGAAGTTTGATTACGCGAAACTTTTCTTTCTCTTTTGTTCTACTCTTTTATAAAAAGAACAAGCAATGAAATAAAAACTTTTCCTTCTTAACATAAATTTATACTTAGAGATAAAATTAATTTAGAAATAAATCAACAATGAACAAAGCAACTAACAGATTAATCTGGGACTATTTTGATATAAATGAAAATAATTAACATAAACAACATTACCAACAACAACTATCAAATAAACAAAAAATATCGCATAATTTTAAGGGCTTTTTATTTTTAATGCTTAGTCATTCTAAATAATAAGTAAATTTAGTTCAAGTTAATATTTCAATATTCACAGTTGCAATATAATAAAGAAATGATGTTTAATGTTGAACTTTTTATTAAATTATTTACTTTTTACCTACATTTGTTATAAAAAATTTTCAAACACCCGCCATTAACATATTTTGTTTTAAATATATTTCAAAGTGATTATTCAAACTAATTTTTTTCGCTTGACTTCTCAAACTAAAGTTTAAAAAGTCAAGCGAAAAAAATTTAGTTTGCAAAGCAAATTGAGACGAAATATTGTCTAACCAAATATAAATGCTGTTACTAATTTTATAAGGATAATTAATGTAAAACAATTTTTTATCAGAGTCTTGATTGAGATAATAAATATTCATAACTTATAAACATTAAATATATGGCGCAATAACAATTTATAGCAACAAACCAGCATGAAATATTTGAGGTTTTTAATATCTTTTGAAATGTTAAAAATAGAAAGAAAAAAAACTATACAAATAATCAAAAAAAGTTCAAATAAAAATAAATAAAAATATTTCCAGAGTTTCATTTGTTTTAGTATATGTCTACCGATAATATGTCTACCGGTCAAAATATACAAGTCTATCGTGACGTCATATACTAAAACTTCTATGAATTAAACGCGCTTCAAAGGAATCGCCCAAGTCTGTAGATTGCAACTTATAATTTAAAGACTCTGAGTTAGTGAAAAAAATGGAGAAGGCGAGATTTGGCTAAAACAACAACTTTAGTTTTTCTCGGTATGCATTCAATATATATTTTTAATCAAAAAAACTTGGTTTAAACCTTTTTTTTTAACATTATCTTTTATATGAACACAGCATGTGTTGGAGTTTGGGATCCCTTTAAGAAAAAAATGATACAAAAAAAAAAAAAAAAATGAAGTTAAACAAGCAACACAATTAAGAAACTAGGTTTTTGAAATAAAACATGATACTTATAAAAGATGAAACTTTTAAAAAAATACTAACAAAATGAACTTTAAATCGCAACTTTAACTTTAATTGATTCAAACATATTTGATTAAAGCAAAAAAAGTGGTTGAAAAAATTGCTTTTGCCAAAATATAAGAAAAAACTTAAAACATTTATGATTATTTGTTATTACTGTTTCTGTTTATTTTTTTAATTTCAAAAAATTTCATTAGTAACTAAACTTTAAATAAAAATCTAACATGCCTGACATCCATCTGACATCCATTTGTTTGCGTCTTCATTCCAGTAACTGCATTCAACACAAAATGATTTCATTTCATAATCAAACTTCCCAAAATACTCTGTCTCATCAAAATTATATGTGTTTGTAACTAACTTTTTAGCTGGCATTGCACCAGAATACAAAAACATAAAATGTAGTTCACTTTTATTTAACAATGAGTATGTTGAATTGTCAAAATTCCATAACATTATTGCACCATCAGCAAGAAGCAGAACATCTTGATTTCTTTGTAAAGCTCTATTAGAATCTTTAGTTATTGTTTTGCTAATGTTCAATATTGCTGTATCGGTTAAATGGTTGTTTTTTGTTATGACAACACCCTGTTTGACAGAAATGTTGAGCATAATGTCATAATCAAGTTTTGTTGCTACTTTTCCATATTGAATATAAACAATAAGATTTGTTAAATTATTTTCATCATTTTTGAAAATGAATTTTAAAAGCATCTTACAGCCTGATGCAATTGAAAGGCTGACATGGTATGCATCGTTAGGCATAGATAAAGATATATTTTCCCCATTCATTGTTTCAGGTTTATTTCTTATTGAAATGTTTATTGGTTGAGAGCTGTTACTTACTTTTATTGGATGACCATTAGAATCAGAAAAAAAAAGAGTTTGAGTTTCTGTGCGAATGTTTTTAGATCGATCAGTATCCCATGTGTGAACAACATCTTTCATTCTGACATTCTAAATGACAAAAATACAAAACTTTTTAAAGTAAGTTTTTAAAGTTTTTAGTCATAACAATTAGATCAGTATAATTGTACCAACCTTAACTTGCAGAAAATGTATGTATATATGTATGTATGTATGTATGTATGTATGTATGTATGTATGTATGTATGTATGAATCTATGTATGCATGTATGTATGTATGTATGTATGTATGTATGTATGTATGTATGTATGTATGTATATATGTATGTATGTATGTATGTATGTATGTATGTATGTATGTATGTATGTATGTATGTATGTATGTATGTATGAATGTATGTATGTATGTATGTATGTATGTATGTATGTATGAATGTATGTATGTATGTATGTATGTATGTATGTATGTATGTATGTATGTATGTATGCATGAATGTATGTAAGTATTTATATATTTATATATATATATATATATATATATATATATATATATATATATATATATATATATATATATATATATATATATATATATATATATATATATATATATATATATATATATATAAACATAAAACAAAAATTAAAAAATTAAAAACTTAATGCAATTTAGCTGAAAAACTTACATGAATTGAAATTTGTGAATTTTTTAAAGACTCATTAAACAATTCCTTAGAATCTGGTAAAGAAAACCAACCATCAGATGAACCAATAAAACTGTTATTTAAACCAATAAAAATATCTTTTTTTAACAAAAAATCAAACTGCTTTGTTTCGCCAACTGTTATATTTTCACCTGGAACTTTGTATGATTGTACTGCTATTAAATAGTTTTCCATTGATTTTATTAATTGTGACACTATTTTTTCATCTTGCTAAATTTATTAAAACATTAATTCTTAAAATTAAAAGGTAATTAATATTTGCAGATAATTATTATATGATTAACAATAAAATTTTTAATATTATTTTCATTATTTAATTGAGTGTTAAGTAAAATTGATTTATAGTTTTTGAAATATTTCAAATTATTTAGAAATATTAAACTTGTAATACTCTAGACATATTTATTTTAACATTTGTTAAAAATTTGAAATAAACTAATAATCCAGTTAAATGATCACAAATTTAAATTTCCTCTAAAACATTTCCAGTCATTAAACATTTAGTACCTATTCATTAAACATTTGGTTTATGTTTTATTTTTATTTGTAGCAACATATTGTTCTGATAAAATACAAATAAAAAACTTAAATAAAAAATACTATATTTACTTGCAAGTAATTTAATGATGGTATCGAAGGAGTAAGTTGCAGCAAGTTAGAGAGTGAATTTACAAATGACTGGGACATAATCTCAAATTTTTCTGCACCAAAACCTTTTAGATGTTTTTTGGTGAATAATTTAGCTAGTTTATCTACTATAGATGCTGCTTGATTCTAAAAAATAATTTAGTTTAAATAATTACATAAGTTTTCTATAATATTTCTACGTCAACATTTCTATAACATCCTGATACAAAAAAGATTTTAATAATCAAAAAACTTGCTTAGTTTACTACTCTCTTGTTTGATAAAAAATAATTTGAAGCATTAGACTATTTGCATTTAATACAAACTATTTTTTGACTTATCTTTTCAAAATATAATTAATACCAAAATTTTTATGTACCAAAATTTATAAAATTTATAGAATATTTATTTCCTAAAATACCTAAATTATAGTTTTAAATTATTCAAGAAAACAAAAAAGAAAACTTTCTATTAACTAATAAACAACACATTAACAAAATACCTGAGCCTGAGGAACAATCTGTAATGGGTTTTGTGTTGTAACAACTAAAGCATCACTTATTGATTTAAAAGAATTTAAGTCGTCAAGCAACAAATTGCTCATTAAATCAATTAACTGTGTGCGTAACTAAAAATCATAACAAATATTTTAGACAATCATATACTTACACATCATTATAAAAGAGCATTTAATTTTTCATTAAAATTATTGATTCTAATTTATGAAATATTTAATTGAAAAAAAAACTTTTTGATCCGATTGCTGTAATAAACTAGATTCATTTTTATATGTGTACATTGCCTATATATGTACATATAAAGCTAATATACATATGTATTGTGTACATCTTTTTACTAGCTTTCCAATCAAAATATTTTATGAACATGCACCTATTTTATTAAAATGAATATGTAATAGGGGTGATTTTAATTTTAAATATAATATTTTAAAATAGCTGTGGATTCAGATCTATACAGTAATAATATATTCAAAAGACCTATTTTGGAAGTGTGCTAAAAATCAAGACAATTTTATCAGAGTATATTTAAAGAAAATAAAAAAATAGAAAAACAATAGTAAGTTTTTGTAATACTATAGTTTATATACTAATCTATAGTTTATTTAAACAAATAATTACATAAAATTCAAATAGAAAACTCAGTATCACAAAAAAATATGAAAACTCATAAAAAACTTTTTTTTAATATCTTGTTCTTAGGAGAAAAATTTACAGTAAGGTAATGTTTATATATTTAAAAAAATAAAACAAAAAAATATATAAAAATTATATTGTTATACTATATTAAAACCTAAAGCGATCCCAAAGTGCTAAGACAAGGGAAAAAAGGGATCCCAAAGTGCTGAGACAAGTTATGTTCATATTAAAGAGAATGATAAAAAAAAATGTTAATAACAAATGCAAATAAGAATAATAATATTAAGAGGTCGCTGTAATGACTGGTGTTAACAGTTGTGGAGCGCAATAACAGTTGATATTGCACTCTATCAGCTTTGCACATTTCCTAAATCTCTAAACCAAATTATCTTAAAAGCAATTTTGTAATAAAATGTCTTTGCAAATATTTGATTTATCTAGTTTGTTTTGAACTGATTTATTGAATCAGCTTCTATTATGTCACTCGGTAGATTATTCCATATATTGACTATACGATTAGAGAAAAAATTTGATCTGATAGTATTTTTGTAGAATAATTTTTTTAATTTGAATTTGTTGCCTCAGATAGGGGCCTTCTTGTGACACGGTATAATTGTAGTTTGAAACCCAATATACTTTATCACAACCATATTGAATTTTTTTATTGTTGGATTAGATTGCTACATATTCGCCATTCTTCTAGAGTTGTTGATTGCATAATATCTAATCTTATCTCATATGGTATTTTTTTTACAATATTGCAAGCAACCAATATTAAGTAATAAGTTACTTTAAAATTGAGAATCAGTTAAAATACTATAAAACGTATAACTAAAGACTAAAAAGTTGTAAGTTGTATATAAAAAGAAAACATGAAGTTGGGTAAGTTGGAAAAAAACTGGATTATTTATCATGCTGTAAAAAAATTTTATAACATTAAGAGACAAATACAGTAAAAGGATGCAACTTGTTGAATAAATAGCCAATCAAGAATGATTTTTGGTTTATTGTTATAAAGATGGTAGCTCGTTTGAGCATTGACCATGATGAAAAGATTAAAGTAATTTAGGTATCAACATGTAGAGATATAGCAGCTTTAGTAGAAAATGGTTTTGAAAAAAGTCAGAAAATTTGAAGATAGTGCCTTACATATTTTATGAATGAGCTTTAGTTAGGAAAAAAAAATGCTCTAGATTGTTTATATTAGAGAAACAGCTTAAAAGAGGAAAGCTAAAGCCTGATGATGATGATGATGATGATGATGATGATGATGATGATGATGATGATGATGATGATGATGATGATGATGATAATAAAGATGATGATGATCATGATGATAATGATGACGATGATAATCATAATCGTCATTATCATCCTCAAGCCTTCCTCTTTTATGCTGTTGATGATGATGATGATGATGATGATAATTATAATGATGATGATGATGATGATGATGATGATGATGATGATGATGATGATGATGATGATGATGATTATAATGATGATGATGACGATGATGATGAAAATAATGATGAATATGATCATCATAATGATGTTTATATATGCATATATATAAAAAATATAACATGACTTTAAAGTAAAAAAAAAAAATTCTTTAGGATGAATAAATGTTTATGCAGCCCTGGCCACAAACTTGGCCCCGGCTATATTTTATCAAACACAGTCCCGGTCAAATATTAACCCTAATTGTTTACTAGTTGCAGCACACATTAGAAAAAATATATTTAATATTTTCCAATTTATATGTCATATTTTGCAAGTATTTTACAACCTTTTTCAAAACCTGCCCCTTAAAATTACAAATCAAAAAAATACCAAAATTGATAATAAAAAGTTTTTCATTAAACGATTTCAATTTTAAAATTTACTCAATAATGCTACACTTTATTGCAATCTTGACCAATAATTAATTTTAAAAATGAAGTAAAATAAATAATTTCATTAAATATATTCTCGCATGATTAAATAAGAATTTACAGAACATTTGTACCCAATGAAAAGTTTAGCAAATAAATGCTGATAAATAAACTTTGATAAGGTTACCTCTTTAACTACCAACAGTTTAAAAAAAAATCTTCATGTTATGACCGCATATTTTCTTGAATAAAATTTGAATGGCATAACATTGACAACTAATTAAAATTCGAATAGTAAATCTCTTTAAAAGCATAACAATCTATATATCAATAGAAAGCAAATAAAAAAGAACTTTTTCATTAAATAAGTTTTTAACATGCAACATTGACCAATAAGAAATGCAAAGTGCTTAAAATCATTGTTTTTATAAATAGTAACTAAAACATTAAGTCCAAAACAAAACTCATTTAATCTATAAAAAGAATGTTTTTCTTCAAAAGATATTTGTAATTGCTTAGCTAAATACTTATACTTTTCTACAAGTTAAATTTTACAGTGTTAACGCCGCCTTATTTTAGAACTAAAATTAAAGAAGTTTTTTTTTATTAATGATTACTTAAAGTTTTCTAACTTTGTCATGTGTGATAATTTTTTATAATAACACAATATGGCTCTTATTAATCTTGATTATGTAGAGAATTAATCAAATCTAAAGAACAAACAATTTATATGTGTCTAGAGTGAAAATTTGTGTACAAAACAAGATAAATTGTGAAGCATACTCAAAAGCTGCTATGAGTGGCTTGCAGTCAAAACTTGAAAAAATGAAAAGCCACTGTCAGTGGCGTGCGGTAGTGTTAAATACAAAATAATTTTTTTAACAGAATTTCAATAAGGACAATAATCATTTAATAACAAATATAACACAAAAACTAATTTATAGCAACAGACCAGCTTAAAATATCTGAATTTATTCATATTTTAAATACGAACTTAGTGAAATTTAGAAAATAACATAACTAAAGAAATTCTATAGTAATTTATAATGAAAAAAAAACTTTTATATATTAATAAGTAATTAAACAAACTCTTTAGTAATCTATAATTAAAAAAAGATTCTATAATTTAATAAAAAAAATTTCTTATCGAAAGATGTAAGATTTTTTTTCAAAATTTTTTAATGACATCATTTACTATAACTCTTTGGAAATAAACACACTTGAATAAATTATAAAGTCTGTAGATTACAGCATATATCTTAAAGACTTCAAAGAACTGGCTAACATGGAATTGACAAGCTTTAAGTAAAAAAACAAAGTTTTTTTTTCTTAGTATACCTTTATTATTTTGTTTTACTTAAAAAAATTCTGCTTAAACATTTTTTTTTAATCATTCTCTTTAATATGAAGACAACTTGTCTCGGCACTTTGGAATCCCTATAAGTCATATTTTTTGGTTTAGCTTTTATATTATGTTATCTAAATATAGTAATAAAGTTAAGACAAAAAAAATTTACTTGTACTAAAATTTTAATTAAACCTTAAAAAAAAAACAATATTTTGAAATTAATCAAAAATTTCGAAAATAATAAACAAACTTTAAAGTTTATTATTATTTTCAACTAATTAAATAATTAGTTGTTTACTAAAGCATTTTTTCAACATTTAGTTGAACATAGTATTTAGTTGAACATAGTATTTAGTTGAACAAAGTATTTAGTTGAACATAATATTTAGTTAAATATATTATTTAGTTGAACATAGTATTTAGTTGAACATAGTATTTAGTTGAACAAAGTATTTAGTTGAACATAGTATTTAGTTGAACATAGTATTTAGTTAAACATGGTATTTAGTTAAACATAGTATTTAGTTGAACATAGTATTTTGTTGAACATAGTATTTAGTTAAACATAGTATTTAGTTGAACATAGTATTTAGTTGAACCTGTTATTTCAAAAAGAGCACAAGTCCATTTATTTAAACTTTTCAAAATCAGCAAAAACATGAGTTTTATTAAAATGTCTACACTGCTAAAGAAATTAAACATAGAAGTAAACAAATAAAGAAGGTATATAGCTTATGTAATTTTTATTTTTTATAAAAAAAACATAAATCATACAAAATATTTTAATACAAATTTATAAACTAACAGTTTAAAATTGTGGAAATTGTGGAAAAAATTTTGATACAAATTTATAAACTAACAGTTTAAAATTGTGAATTGTTAAAACAGTTTAAAATTGTGTTTAAAATTGCTATTTTCGAAATCACAGGTTCAATTGTAAATGTTACACATGCTTTATAAAGAATATCTATCAGATAAAACTGTATATATAAATTCATACTTCTTGTAAACTAGACAATTCTTGCTGCTTTTGTTGTTTCAAAATATCTTCATCAACAATACCAAATAATTCATTAGCAGACAACGAAGTGATATTATATTGATTTGCAAAGTTTTTGTTTATATTATTGCTAACTGCTTGAACAAGATTAGCAATACTTTGTGTATCATTAAGACTGATGTTAGCTATCAAGTTTTTGAAATTCAATGTTTTATTATTTGGGTACACCTATATATATAAACAAAGATTTAAAAAAATGTTTAACTTATTTTATAAATAAAAACATGTTTTGAAAGGTTTTATTTATAATTAAATAAAAATGTTCCCTAAATACTTTTTAAAAGTAGTATTTGAAAAAAACTATGACATTAAACAACATTTGTTATACATTTGAAAGACTTAATCATTTAGTATGAAAACAAAATATTAATTATAAAAAAACAATTAAATTTATTAAATTGTTTTTTTATAATTAATATAAAAATTTATTAAAGTTCAATTATTTTAATTGAACTTTAATAAATTTAGCTTTATATATATCAAATTGGTTTATTCAAAATTCTTTCATTTTAATGATGCTAATTAAAGATCAAACAAAACTCATAATTTTCTTCTTTAATGTTATATATATATGAAAATTTTTTTAAAGGTTTATTGAATTTCAGCTTTTTATTTATAACAAAGATATATATATATATATATATATATATATATATATATATATATATATATATATATATATATATATATATATATATATTTTAAGTACATGTTAATCTTTTTATCCGTATTTTTTCCTTATTGCTTACTTTTTCTTTTATTATTTTAATTCACTTTAACATAGTTTAGTTAAAATATATGAAACTTAAAATAACTGAAACTTAAAATATATGAAAAGTTTAAAACTCTTTTAGTTAAATGATGTTGTTTGAAAATCACACAAAAATCAAAAGTTTCTATATTGAGTTTTACATATATGTTCTAATACTGCATCATTTTTAATACTCATCATTTTTAAGGTCCCCATCATTACCCTGATTTAACATAAGTTTTTAAAAGTTCATAAATGCCAACCTTGATATATAGATAATTTTCCGTGTATGCTTGGTACTTTCCAATCACTTTTATAATAATTCTGATTTTGAAATCGTTGTTCTCATCACCTGGACCCATTACAAAGTTTATTAAACTTGGTTGGTCAGTAGTACCTGGATTCAACATGGGATAGTCTATTGAGGTTACACTACTAAGTTTTATTTGCTGTGACTGACCATTATCATAATAAAAAGCGTAACGAAGCAATCCATCAGAATCTCTCCATCCATCACAAATAAGTATAAACTTTGTCTCAAGGGCAATCCCTTCTGTTGGGCTAAAGAAAACATGCTTTTTTTTAGTTTTAATTTAGGTATAATAAACAATTTATATAAATAAAAATAAATTTACCTTAAACTTTAACTTAACAAAATAAAATTCATATAAAATCTACATACTTGATAATGCAATATCCTGGAGTAGGCTGAGAACAAGTTGACTTTTTAAACTTTAATTTAACTTTTTTGACAGAATTCACGTAGCCAACCATCAAAGTAAATGTGTAGTTTTTTGATTCAAAAAGAATATCTTTATTAATTACAAGACTGGGGATTAAAAACCCTGTAGAAGTAGCATTTTGAACAGAAAGTTCTTCTGGAAAATTTCCTTTATCATCTTCTATAGTCCAATTTGCCACTAATCTAAAAAAAAAACTTTTCAAATACTCAGTAATTATGTAATTTTGTGTCAATTTGTTTCACCATATTAAGAGCTTATTCTTTATAAAAATTTGAAAAAAATATGTTCATGATTTATTATTGCATATATTATTTGTACTATTATTGCCTTTCATAGTTCCCAAACATATTAACAGAGCAGTGTCATTTAAAGAGTTTTGCTTTTTAAACATTTTTATCTTTCGTTTGAATACAAAATGCTGCATTTTGTATCACATCATAATTATTTCTTTGTTTATAATTTACATTTCAAAACCACATTTGTAGTTTAATAGCATATTTGCATTTGAAATAACACATTTAAATATCTTTAATTATTTTCGAAATTATAAAAATGGTTGAAATATAAAAAAAGTGTGTAATTTTGATCGATTTTTATTATGAACAGAAACGTTAAATAATTTTCTTTACAATTGTTTTACACAACATAATAAGTAAAGAAAAGAAAGAGACATACCTTAATGCAAACAAATGCACATTTAATTAATGAAATTAACATTTAATTCATATAATTACTGAAAAAAATCCTTTACCACAACAGCTAAGCACAATGGCTATTTGACTATTATAATAGACTTAAGTTTTTACCCAAAGTTTGAAAAAAAAAGTTTTTTTTTCTTTTTATATTTTTTTAGGTGCATAAGAAAACATAATAGTTTTATCACAGAGCACCCCAATAGAGCATTTACCTAGGAAGTTCACCCCTCCTTTCTTTCCAATGGCCATAAATATGCCCAGAGCTCATTTTAAACCCTGGATCTCTAGCTGTTAAAGCAAGCACTCTAATCACTGTGCCACAGCTGGATTTATTTATTTTTTGTTTGCTCATAGTTAAGTAGTTTTATTGGGTAAAAAAAAACTTTTACACAACTTGTGTACAGTTATTGTATAACTAGATATAATTGTATAACTATTAACTATATATTTAGCTATTAATAGATTTTAGAGATTTCTTAGTTTCGAGCCTTTATTATAATTTATGTTAATGATGAAATATTGTAAATTTTATAGTGCAACACTATTAAAAAATAGCAATAATTCTTTGAAAAATAGCAATAATTCTTTAAAAAATAGCAATAATTTTTTTCCAAACCTTTTAAATTAACATAAATAAAATTTAACAATATCTAACAAACAATTTTAATGAGTAAATAAAAACTAATTTAAAAAAAAACTATATAGATGAAATAAATGTACACAATAAGCCTATATTGATGCATATATGGTATACTGCACATGTATACAGTCAGGGGGAATTCTAGACCATTTTTGACAGATGGAGGGGCATCGCTGCCTAAATTTTCTTCCTATAATAGGCCCTGACAGTATACATTGATACTTAAGCAGTATACATTGATAACATTGATACACTATCAATTTATACATATACAGTATACATTGATACACATACAGTTTATATTGATATATATATATATATATATATATATACAGTATACATTGATATGTATGCAGTATACATCAATACATAAGCATTATACATAGATATTTATACAGCATACATTGATATGGAAACAGATATAAATCAATACATAAACAATATACATTGATAACATAGTACTAAACATTGCAATTTATGGTAAACATAAAAACTTATGTACCTTCGATAGCCACAATCTTCACAGTCAAATGAATATATTGTGCGTTCTTTAAAATTCAGTTTAGTATCGCAGTTAGATATGCACCTAATTATTAAACGATAAGTTATACTTCTGTTGAGTAAGTTCGAACAATATATTATATATTAAACTAAAAACATATTTTTCAAAAAACCATAAAAACAAAGGCAAAATTAAAAAGTACAAAGAAAATAAAAAAACTTTAATGTATTAAAAAGTTTAAATGCATAAAGTTAATAGAATGGTAATAAAGTTGAATTAATGTAAACAAATTACTTTATTTATATTTCTACATTCATTATTTCTCCATAAGTACATACATTAAAAGTAGCAGGAAAAAGGTTGCTGATTTGGTATCAACCCTGTTTATTTCTTAAACAGTTAAGCAAAATAAAAATAACTTTTTAAAATTATTTGATAAATCTGCATGCAGAAACAATCATCCAATTTTAAATTGTTATGTCAGGTTTGATGTAATAATAGACAACAATCTACTATTTATAAACAAATGTGATAAAAAAAATTGTCACCGTAACTGACAACAAACTTTATATCAGTTTTTGTTTCAAATCTTACATCATTTTTGCCATTAGTATTGTTTGTTACAAAAGTTACTCCAAAAAAGCTCTTCGTCTTCGTGAAGAAAGCAAACAGGGTTTTTTTTGTTTTGTTTTTTTTTTGTTTTGGAGGGAAAGGAGGAGTTGTTTAATCTTTTTTTTTAATTTAATGTTCCAGTTTTAGTAGGAGATTATAAAAAAAACCGAAAAGCTTAACAAAGCCCATTCAGACTGGCCAATAGTATCAAAAAGAAGTTTTTTTCAAAATTATTTTCTGAAACAAATTACACTAAATCAACTTATGTTGCAAAAGCTGCTATCAGATTCAAAGTATGTGATGCTGCAACATCTGCCATAGCCACTGTTATCATATTAATAGACAATCAAGTTATAACTCAAAATGAAAGATCTCAAATTATCATTATCAAAATAATCACATATATCATTGAAAAAAAATATTTGATACAAAGAAGTATATTTAAACTATAATTATTAATAAGGGTTGTGCAGAGGTTTTCCAATTATAAGTCATCAGAATAGATAGCAAAAAAGTCAAAATATAAGCCAATATACTGGGATAATTTTGCTAAACATAGTATTAACAGAACAGTAAAGGAAAAACATCACCTAACTTTTATTTTATAGTAGATCTTTTCCTGAAATATATTTGACATATATAGAAATAAAAAATGGAGCAGGTCTTACAATTGCAGCTGAGACACTAAAAGTACTCAAAAAAACAAACAACAGCATTACACATTTTGAAGCACTACAATCCACTGTCCTTGTTAACACTTCTACTAAGTTTGAATAATAGATTAATAGTGGGTATGCTGTCATTTGTCTAGCTGCTGTAATATAATAAAAATAAAACCTTAATTTATTTTCCGAGACGAAATAGTTGGATTTCAAGTTTTATATTTTTGAAATCCTGACATCGAGGGCTTTCATATGCACCCAGCAATTTCTCTGGGTCAGCTATATACAACTATCATGAATTTTGGGTAGGGGTGATCAGATATCTTAGCTGTGATATATGAAAAGACTTGTGCTACAATAGACACTTATGTTGTATCAAACTCTGGATCCAAAATAGGCTCTGATACAGGTTTTAGTAGTTTGTAAGCTAAAACTGTCCTTTTCCAGAATAATTCGTTTAAAACTAACTCTTTAAGATTAATTCCTATTTTTAATTGTATTTTTCAATATGTTCTTGTGCTTTCTCATCAGTTACTGCCAATCGCAATGAGTCACAAAGACACAAATAATAGAGGTTGAACTGACAGCCTTTTCTAAAGATTTTGAAAAAGAACACTCTTGGAGATCAGAATATAAGTCATTAGCAACCATATTCATTGTGGAATTGGTGCCTACTTTTTTTACAAAACTGGTAAGGTTGTTATCATACGAATTACTTATTAAACGTGACACACCTTCATTATTCTTTGTATTTGTGTCAAGTTCAGATGAAGATTTTACAAGTATTATTCCACTTTTAGTTTTAGGTACAAGACTCTGTTTCAAAACATCAGCTGCAAATTTTTTTTTTACAAGCTTTGGTGATTCATTCAGACAATCTATAACTAAATGTTTTTTAGCACAAGTGGAATTTTGCGTGAAAAGCAGTATGTGCAAACAAGTGCTGTTTTTCCATCATTGCATTTTTTTTTTTAAATGTCGATTTCAGACTTGGTCATATTGTGTGTGTGTTATGTCATAACAGCGACACCATTAATTTATACAATGATTATATAAATTATTAGTGTCATTGTTATTTTTACCCTTAATACCATGATAATAACCTATTAATAATAATTATTAAACAAGGAAAATAAAACATAAATGATATCATTATAACTATAGTTATAATAGTATCATTTATGTTTAGTACTAAATAAAAATGATATAATTATATGTTTTGTTAAGAACCAATAGTAATACTATTACTATTGTATAAGTGAATATTTGGTATAAAAAACCTTTATTTCAAAAATTTATTGATTTTATATTGATAATATATTCCTTATTAAAAAAAGTAAAGTAATGGTAAACAACAAAAAAATATAAAAATTAAAATTATTTTATTTTATGAAAATTTCCAAGATTTCGGGAAATTTTTCTGAAAATTTCCTGACTTAAAAATTTCCGGGAAATTTTCATCACTACTAGAAAGTCTGCATTTAGTTTCACCCAGCGTTCCACCCAGTCATTGATAACATTGACAGAAATTGCCTTCATCTTTAATGACAGAAACGAAGGGTGAACTGGCCAGTTTTCAATGTTATTCTTAAGAAAATCCACATTCATCTCTAAAAGACTGAAAATGTACCATGAATCTGCAATAACCAAATCTCTAAGTCTTGTTGTGGCAGTGATTTCAGTCAGGAACCTAGGTTTTCCAAAGCTAGTTCCATAGTAATCATGCAGCAGAGCCATTCAATCACTAAGCCTCGCTGCCAGAAGCTTCTTGGCTAAGTACTGCAATTCAGGCTTTGAAACAATGTCACTAAATAAAGTAAGGGGCACTATTTTAGAACATAAGTACCACAGATGACACATCAGTGCTTTTATAGATATTTCACTTTCAGATATTTCAGAACTTACTTGTGTGTACTTACTTACTTAGAAAGTTCTGATAAAGATAGAGATTATGTCAGGGGCATTAACTGCTGTTCTACACATTGTCCATCAGGCACTGTATATCAGACACACAAAGGTGACGAAGCTGTGTAACTTTGTCTGCTGTGCAGCAGCGGTAATTGTTTCTGCTGGCAACAACCGGATCTACTCTTCAAGAAGCACCATTTTGATGGAGTACAATGTTTTAGATATCCACCATGCTTTGTGAACTCCTACCGGTCAACGAAAGTGAAACTTTCTGTTTTCTGGATCAAGGTACAGCAAACATAAATCACTGAATTCTTTATAGTCATTTTGCTGAGGCTCTATGGAAGATTCAGCAGCTGCTTCTGCACTTTCCTTTTACATAGTAATCTGTATTTCATGATGTATATATGAGGGATATTGTAAATGATTTCACATATCAATTGCAAATGATTCACAATCTGAGAAACAGTTTGTGAATCACTTGCAAAAGGTCAAGGGTCAAATGGACTGAGTGTCATCTCGCTTCCAAGAGGAACTGTGTAAAAATGTTGCTTAAATGTGTTAAATACAGTAACTTTTAGTGATTTTGATGCTTCAATGTGCAAGTAGTTAAAAAAGTGTGTTAAAATAACATCTCCAACATGATAACAGCATGCAAACCAGAGCAATGCATGGCTAATTCTTTGCTGCAGGGCCACAAACATGTGCCACTGACATGTAAATGTACTGACAAGCCTGGTATTGTTGGCTGTAGTATCAAAAATTATGTTTACTACAGACTCAGCACAATTCCATGACTGCAACAACTGCATTGTAGTATTAGTGATGATATCTTCAGATCGATGATCTGTTCCTAGTTGATAAGCAGGTATGCCAAGAATTTTGATATTGGCGTTGTTGCCAACAGCGACCACAAGTCTTTCCTGTAAGTCATGTTGCCTGGCTCTTCATCAGTTTAGAATCCCAGTGCAAGGAAGCATACTTTGGTAGAACCCATGACTTCCAAACTTCAGAAGCAATTTCTTCATTAACCATAAACCTGGACCTGTCTGCTGTGGCATATGATACAGCAATTTTGCTAGCATCACCTCCTGATTGTTCAATAATGGCATCAGTGAGTGCAGATTATTGTGATGTGCAGGAGAAATTTTCATTCTTGTTGCCAAAGCCACAATTCTTGGAGATTTAAGAATGTTATAAGGTATATGAGCTGCCATTCCAGTGCAAATGGTTCCATGGTGTGTTTTTAACAGTTTCTTTGCAGAAGAAGTCTTAAAAGAACTATCGACATCAAATTTACTTTTATCACTACTTTTCTTGCTGCTGTTGCTAGAGAGCTCTACTGTACAAATAGCAGATATTGTAGCAGTATCTGCTTCTTCTGCCCTTAGTCACCTTTCCTCTTGCTATTGCAGTCATGCCTTCTTGCACTGTAACTGTAATGCCAATTTTTTTGTCATGAGAGCCAAATGATGCAGAGCATCATTTGGCTCTCATGACAAAAGCAGGAATAGTCTGCAGATTCAAACCTAGTTTCCCTATAATGAGTTAATTCTTACGAATGTAAATACCCAGGTTAAGCATGCAACTATAAAAATGACTAAACACAAAAAATTATTTCATCACCAAGTTCTTTAAGTTTATCATTCACTAATATTCGTGGTCAAATTAATTTTTTTCTATTAAATCACTTTCTCTTGCAAAGACTTAGTCTTTGCAAATTAAAGGAAGATAATAATCAACACTAAGATCACAAGATGAGACATCTGAAGTCAAATTATTTTCACAAAGAGCAAGTAGGTCTGGTGAACTTCGCAAGAAAAAAGACTTAACAGAAAAAAAAATAACTTGAAGACCACAAATATTAGTGAATGATAGATTTAGAGAACTTGGTGATGACTATAATTTTTTGTGCTTTATTGTCATTTTTAAAATTTTTAAAGAAGTTCACTCAAAGCACAGATAATAATCAGTATACTAATATATATTATATATATTTTATAGTCCAAGCAATTGCCTTATTTATAATAATAAACCCTAAGCCATAAAAAAAGGGCTCTAAATGTGGCCTCAACAATTGACACCAAAAGTACAAACAGAGACACCAGTCTCTCTGAGAATTACCACAGAGTTTAGAAAAACCTAACTACCAGCTGGCGTCAGAACCATAAAACTAAGTTTTAGAGCTGTACCCTCATTAGGAGATAATATAATAAGTTGCTTAGTCATAAAAACAGAGATACAACCAAAACCTATGCATTGAGTCAAGAAGATCCAGCATTCAACGTCCTAAACTGGAAACAGTGTATTATAAATACATTTATGCCAGCCTAATAAGTTAAGGAGGATTGTGAGACTGGTCAACAGATAGAATCTGAACCTCATTCTAGCTAAAAACCAAACCAAAACTGAAAACAATAGAAATGCAAAAAAATCAGATTATTGTATACTTTCTACAAATTTGTGTTAAAATTAATTATCAATTTTTTAGACTTAGACTATTGAGACATACAAATGTGAGTTCATTGTGCTTTTTTAGAGAAAGACATACCTCAACAATTGAATTAAAGACATCCAAGTTTAATTGTTGTTTTAATTATGAAGACTATAAAAAAAAAGGTAAAGTAAGGAATGTTAGAAGTTTTTAAAAATAAAAAAATCATATTGGAAGAAAAAGTTTTTAAACAAAAACCATTAAGTTGCGGTGTTAAATCAAAATTTCTTAATCTCTCACATATACCAACTTAAGTCAATTTTTGATGACTGATTTAAATATTTCATAATTAAAATATTTCATAATTAAAATATTTCATTAGAGAAAGGGTCTGAACTATTTTTTAAACACCACCAATTATAAAGAAATTTCTGTAAACAATCAACTTGAAAACATGATAATGGGTTCATAAACAAGTATTTTTTTAAATATTCAACACTTTTGAAAACTTGAAAAAAACAAAACAAATAGTTGAAAACTTCAAAATGATTTCCCCAAATTATTAAAATTGTCTAATCTTTAGTGGAATTATGCTTATATTTATGGTTCACATTAATCCCAAAAAAATAAAAATACATTTAGAGAAAAAACATGCTTGAAGAACAAAAATATGTTTACAAAATAAAAAATATGTTTTGCCAATTAGTTTAGAGAAAAAATAGATTTATACAGTGACCTAATGCACAATGATTTAATGAATTTTACATTAGCTAACATAGTTTGTTCATAACTAATCAATACATCTGATGGAACAATTGATCTCAAATGATATGCAGGGTGACAAAGCTATTTTAAAACAAATATGTTTTCTATATGCTATAATTTTCTATAAGCTAACATTATTCCAGGAAGTTCTGATTAACACAAGTTCAAATGAAGATCACATTGTTTAATACCTTTTGCAATGCTATTTATGATAGTCAGTTTTGATTTCTTCTGTAAATATACTATTATCTACATGTTGCATAAAAAAATCCACTTGGTCTGATTCTAAACAAACCACCATGGAACAGTGCTTGCAAACTATTTGCAAAGCATGGTGGCTATCCATGTAATGTTGTTATTTGTAAGCAACAATAGTTCTCCTTATTGTTGCAGAATAATGAGAACCTTGTTATAAAATAATTTGTATACTCAAACAAGTTTGTACAATTAGATGTATAATTAGAAAGCCGAGTGTTATTTATGACACCTTTTTTGTTTATATTTAGTGCATTATTATTTTACTCTTTTTTTTTTACCTACTGTATCCTTATTATTTGGGTCTTAAGCCTGTCAATAAATTTGATTTGATTTTATTTAAAGAAAAAAAAAAAAAAAGTAATACAGGTAATATGAACATTCTTTGTAATGTAATATAACACCAAGAGAGGCAAGTTAATACAGTACACAGTGGTTTTGATAATTGGACATTTTAAATTTGGTTTAAAAAAAGTCTAGAATAATAAATAAAAAATATGATCAGGTAAAGAAACCTATTTAATAATTCATTTTAACTAAGTGGAACTTTAATTTAAACTTATTTAAATATGTAAATTTCAAAAAAAATAACATTACCTAGAATTGAGTTATAAAAAAGAAATTTTTTTTTCCTATTTGATTTCATAATGATATTGCATTATTAATGTTTTTTATAATAATATTTTTTCATACAAAAATATAAAATTAATATATATGAAGCATTTATGCAAAAGTGCAGATATTTTTAATTTATAAAATAAAATAGAACATATTTTATACTGTTTATGTTGTTAACTCATGATCTCCAATATTCAACTTTAAGTGTTAAATAAAATATAACTATAGTGTTAAAATAAAGCAATAGTTCTAAATCCTTATATATCTTATCATGCATGCAATGCAATGAATAATATATGATTGCAAAAAAAATCACCACACAAAAACCTTAAAAATATCACCGGCATAAATATAAACATTTAATGAAGGATATAAAAAAAGTCTCAGAATAATAATCAAAAAGGAAAATTGTGCATGTGAAAATTAAAACAAAGCTGCGTAATGCAATGTAGTAATTTAATAATAAAAAAGTTTTTATGTTCCTAAATATCTTATCTAAATTCCTATATATCTTATCATATATCCATTGCATGTAATTTATTTAGTAATTTAACAATAATAAAGTTTTTATTTTTATTTAACAGTTTCTCAATTTTATTATATCATTTATCTCAAAACATTTTTCTATGATTAATGTGTTTTATCAAGACCTAAAACAAATTTTAGTTTATAAATAAAAAAAATAAAAATTAGCAATAAAATATACCTTAATGTAACAGTTGGAAAACTACCTGAAATCTAAACTTCTTGAATAAAACAGCTTGTTTTGTAGAAGTCATTTGAATATACATCTTTTCCTGCATATTTTACTCCACAAACTTCAATATGATAACTAATTTCTTCTAAAAACTGGTGTGTACTAAAAACTATTTCTGAAAAAATTGAAGGAATATCTACCCAGGATTCATTAAAACAAGTATCACTTGAGAATGAGAGATTTAAAAGTGTAAAGTTCTCCATAGCTACTTTAGCGTCAGAAAAATTCATAGCAATTTTGCATCTCCATCTAAAAGTTATATTTTGAGGCCCAACAGTTGGATTATCTGGATCATAACTAGACATTGCACTTACTTTGAAGTTTTGATAAAAACTTTCATTTCCAACCTTCTTTTTATATGCAACAGATACAAATAAACCATTATCAATTTCCACATAGAGAGGTGAATATGTAACATTTAAGAAAGAAGTATAAACAACTGAAGCATTACCATAACTACATTGCAATGACAATATGTAAACACCATAATCTAGTGAATTTTTGGCAATTGAATAGGTTACTTTTTGCTGGGAAAGCACGCCTTTTTGTTGATTTACTTTGGATTTAGAACCAGAACTAGTAAGTTTCCATTCAAAAGTAAATGTTTCTGTTTTACAAAATGAACTAACACTTTCAACAAAAGCTGTTAAATCTCTGCCAACATTTCTAATGATCATCATCGGGTTGTAAATAGTTCCATAGTAAAAATATACTTCAGGCATAGAACAATTTGTTACCTGAACCTGAATAAATATAGGAGCAAGGGTCTGTAAATAATTCTTGCATGTAACAGTAATGGTGTAGTTGTTTATATTTTTATATATATGCTGCACTTGAAATAAAACTGGTCTCATGTTTAAAGTCTGATCATTAAAAGAAGAATTGCCATCTCCCCAATCAATCAAATATATCATATTTGAGCCGGTCTCTTGATAGATGCTTAATGTTATAATTTTGTTTACAGATAATTGAACATACCCACCAAGAGAATCAGGGGGTGTTTTGATGACTTTTAAAGGGGAGAGGAAACAAAAAACGGTTACATTTGTAGAACTAGTGAATAAGGCAGAGGTGTTATTTCCAGTATTTTCCAAAATATCAGCTGTGATAGTGAACTGTTGACACATAGAATAACTAAAGAAAATCAAAATTTAGAATATAAAATATTGGCTGCATTTGTCTATGTTGACAGAAAAATACCAACTTAAACCACAACAAGGATTTATAACATTTATAAGAATCAGTTAAGGCCTACAAAATGTCAGTCTACTAATTTAAAAAACTCTGTTTGTAAACTAAATAAATTTTCATATTAACAAGTGCAAGTAAGCTATAATATTTTGAACTCTGCTTTGAAAAGAAAAATAATTATGACCTTTTTTATGGTTTTTATTGTTTAACAATATTACTATTTCTGATAAAACAACAATATTAAATTGGAAACAATATTCCTTTTTAACTATTACCGACACTTATTTTTTTACTATCTGCAACACAGTGCTTTTTTAACTATTTGTGACACTATCCATTTTTACTACTTTTAACATTGAAGGTTTTTTTAATTTTTGAAAACTTTTGACCCCTCTCTCTTTTTTTTCTCTTTGCACAAAATTTTAACCAACTTCCTCACCCCCTATAAAGCTAATCATAAAAGCCCTAACCCATTGCTTGCCTATGCAGCCATTGGAATTAAAAAATATGAGGTCGACAATAAATTCCTGACTTTTAACTGGTACAAGGCAAAAAAAATTTGACACAAAGGGACTATCATAAAACATAGAAACGAGATTGGCATTTTTTTGCCAACCTCAAACGTATTTAGGTCAGCAGTTAGGTCAGCATATGGGAAGGGGTGCCTTTGGATATTTTTATATCCATGGAATATAGAAAAAAAAATTAAAAAGGTGCTTTATTAAATGAAGATTTACAAATAAAAAAAACATATAGACTACTAAAGGTTTTGGATGAAAATGAAGATTGAAAATAATAAAAAAATCAATTTTTACGTACTTTATTTGAATATGATAAGCAGACAACTGTCTGCTTATCATATTCATAAAATATATATATATATATATATATTTTTTTTTTCTTTAGGTTTCAACTAGCTAATAAATGTTAATGTAATGGAATAACCATTGAAAATATATATACTTAATTCTAACTTCAAGTTTGAAAATGTGTTTGACGCTAATTGCTTAAATCAAAACTAAAATATTCGTTAAACTTTGAAGTCCAATATCTAGGAAACAACCAAATATTGATTGATAAATATTTTTGAATTGATCATACAAATAACAACAACATTTTTTAGGATGGTCACTACTCACTTTGCCTGATTCTTTAAAAAGCTGGATATTTCTTTAAAAAAATGATCTGTTAACCTTATACTGCCTGACCCCATAAAAATTTCATATTTTTTAAGTATACTTCGAACATGACCAATAACTAATTACTGATGTTAAAATATATTTTTTTAATGCACCTAAAATACAATAATGTTCCCACGTATGAACATTAGGATGTTGACAAAATTTGCCTTAAATTTGCCTTATATTTTGCCTAAAGTGGTCATTATTTGGGAAATAATGACCACTTTAACATGCTTACTACTAAATCAAACTGTACTTTACAAAAGTAAAAATAAAACAAATTTTTCCAAAACAATATATGAACATGTTGCATTAAATCTAATTCAAATGATTTTTAAAACTTAATTTTAAAACAGAAAAAAATACTTTAATTCATTGGATCACTAGGCCAATGCTTTTCTTTTATAAACAATGTAAACAAAATAAAACAATATAAACAATATAAAACAGTATAAACAAAACAAATTTTATATACTGTATACAGTATACTAACAAACAAACAACAAAACTAAAAACTAATAATTATATAAACTATAGTTACTGTATATATTGATAAGTAAGCAACAAAACTAAAAAATATTATATTTGTAAACAATAGTTACTGTATGTAACTATAGTTGCTGTAATATAAATTATTGTATGTACTGATAAACAAACGATTAAAAAAAACTTAGTGTAATAATTTTTGAAATATTGAGTTCCTGAAATATTGAAATTTTTGAGTTAATTTCTTCTCTGAAATCTAAGTGAGTAGTTTTGTCATCATTAGGATGTAGAGCAAAAAAAATCAATGGCCACTACCTTTTTTGGCTCGAATCATTGGCCTGTAGGATCCCAAAAGACAATCCATCAAATTAACTCCATCCGTTCCCTTGTTGAAAAGATTTACTAGGTTGGGCTGATTTACTTCTGTATTACCTTTAGTTCCAATTCGCCCATTCACCTTGTGCACTGTGTAAAGTAGTTGCTTTCAATGGTCACAATACAACATACAACAATTCAACAGTCATAAGTACCTGTATTTTTTTTATTTTTTTTTAGTTTTTAAGATCATTACTTTTGAGGCGTTATCTGCAAACCTCCTCTGAAAGTGATTTCATCAATTTTCCACTTGTGAAATAATTGTCAAAATATATTTCGTGAAATTTTGTACTAGATTTTTGCTTCACTACTTCTAGCACATCCTAAATAACTTGATGACCTAAATGTATCTCAGATCTTTTAGTAGAATCTTATGCAGTATAAATTTGTAGTTTTCAAGGATATCTATTATCTCCACATAAACCTTAAAGGTTGTACCCAAAATGTATTGGCTTTATTTTTTTGAACATTTCAGCACTGTGTTTGCCAAACTAGGGCACCATCAACTCATTTTTCATGAAATATTCCCTATTAACTTAGCTGCTCATTTAAGGTTTCATATAAAAATTACATTTTGTTAACAACCTTATGTTCCCATATGGAAACATTTTATTTTACTCTAATTATTTCCCTACTTATAGTTTTCATAATGAGTTGAATTTATAACTAGAAACAATTATTGTTCGCTCAAAAAAATAATAAATTATTGGAGTTAAGTTGAAGAAATTTGAGTGATTCAAAACTCCAAAAATTTGTATTTTAAATGCACATGTTACCAAATTTGATTTAATATAATGAAAAAATAATATTAAATATTTGCAAATTTAGGTGGAAATTAAGATCAAAAATTACTAAAATCTCTTTTTGTGTACTTTTAAAGCTTGACAAGCTTTTTAGACAGGCTGAAATGTTTACCTTTTTATCATTTCAAGGTCATTTGAAAGTCAATTAACAATATTAAAGTGAAAAGTTTTATTTTTAAAATGCTTTTCATATTTAATCAATATTTTTTTAAATTTATTTAAACTTTGAAATCCAATATCTAAAGACCCATGTCTTTAAATAATTTTTTGGAATTTACCTTCTAGTATGAATACCATCAACATACTAAAAAAATAACAACACACTAAATAAATAAATGAGGAAAAAACTAGTAAACTCTACCTGATTCTTACAGAAATTTGTTCTTAAATAAGCGAATAGTTAAACCATAATGAAAACAGAACAATCAAAATAATAACAAAAATTTTTTAACTAATTTAAAATATTAACATTTGTGCAACAAGTGTAAACAAGTTTAAAGGCATCATGAAATGCAGTATGGGTAAACAGTTTTTGCAATACTCATAGTTATGTGTACACAATCATATTAGTATTTCTTTGCAAAAATAGTAGCTAATAAAAGACTTTTTTTTTAAAAGAAATCTGGTACTAAAATAAATGCTCACTTTAATATTAAATAGCTTGAGAGTTTGATTAATTAAGTCTTAATAAAGTTTGAGTAACAAAGTCTATAAATAATTATCCTAACAAAGCTTAAGAAAATAATAATAAAATAAAGTTATAAAGCTTGATTTTTTCATTAAAAGAAATCTGATCTCCTACTAAAATCATTGTTTAAAGTTGATAACTTAAGCTTTATTTATCTTCAACAGTTATTTTTAGTATTTTTCGACATTTCAATTTCCAATTCTTTCAAGAGGTAGGTGGAGGTAGTTCCACATTGATAAATTATTAATGATTTAAGTTTTGTAAAAAGATACAACAAATTGACATAAAATAAATACCTATGAAGGGTAGTGTAAATATAACCTTTTGCAGTAGAAGCATTGATGTTTTTTATATTTTTAACTGTCCCATCACCAAAACTAAGTATCAATAATACATTGTTGCAATAGAATATGCTTATAGTTGTGTTGTATGGTTTATACTGTAGTTGATTCTTCTCAGTATTTATTTCAACACCTTTTTAAAAAAAGATTTAAATTAATTAATACTTTTTTATTATTTTATCAAAATTAAAAAAAATTTTACAACAATTGGCAAGAGTTGGATAATTTGTAATTTTTTGGAATCGTAAAGTTTTACAAACTAATTGCTATAAAAAATCATTGATATAAAACTTTGCATAAATATGAAATATAGGGATGGCACTTTTACTTATTTTAATGTAAAAACGGGATCTACTTTTAAGCATAAATTACTTACATAACTCATATTAAAATATATAATTCACTTACATTTAAAACCATTTCGTGGTAAATCTTTAATTTTTATGATCAAATATTTATTATGCATTATTTGTTTGGTATGGGAGAGGGGACGGTGATAAACTAAATGCTATAAAACGATATCCGTTAAGCCCAAAGAAAGCCGGTTAACCATAGACTAAAAGATCTGTGCACTACAAATTATGGAGCACACAGCTTTTATTATTACTTGGGGACCTAAGTTTTTTTTTTTTTAAACATCTTCGCTTCCAACAAGGCTGCAAGCAATCACTAATTAGTGTTGGAAGTTACTGGAAGAGAAAAGATGAAGATTGTAGAGCAAGATAACAATTAACAGACGACTTAAAAGATTGCAATTTATATGAATTAGGAAAGCAAGATGAAGGAAGCGAATTCCAAAGAACTGTGTTCGAGGAAAAAAACTTGACAAATAAGAGTTTTTGGAGCACTTAGGAAAAGTAACAGAAAAAGGATGAGACTTAATTAAATGACAAGTAACACGAGAATGAATTTTAGTAGAAGGCATAAGAGAGGCTAGCTCTTTAGAGCAGTGCCCATTATAGTATTTGTAGAAAAGAGAAAGAGAAGCAACATTACGACAATGTGACAGATGTTGAAGGATGGCTGCAAGAGCAGGTCCAACTATGTTTTCAACGCGTTTTTGCACCTTGTCTAAAAGAGAAAGAGCATCATTAGAAAATCCGCCCCAGATATGGCAACAGTATTCCATTCAAGGCCGGATTTGAGATTTATAAAGATAGAGAATAGAATCCAAAGTAAGAAAGTGTCGATCTCGATAAAGAAAAAACTTTAGCAGATGCTAATTTTGCAACGGATTTGATATAAGGTTTCCAAAAAAGATCAGAAGTAAGAGTTAATCCTAGAAGATGAAGGGTAGGAGATTCATCGAGTACATTACCGTCCATAAAAATAGGAAAATCTAAATTATTGCGATAACGATTGGCTGAAAAAAATTGAGTTTTATCTGAATTAAAGTTCACCAGCCACTGTGAGCCCCATGCTATAGCAGAAGTGAGATCCTTTTCAAGCTGGGATGCGCCCTGCAAGCAATCAGAAGGAGTTGGCTTCTTATTGTGACAAGAATAAATGGTAGTATCATCAGCAAACAATGCCACCTTAGGTGTGAAAATATCTGGAAGATCATTAATGTAAATTAAAAAGAGAATAGGGCCAAGGATTGAACCTTGAGGAACCCCTGAGGTTACAGAATAAGAAGAAGAGAGCTGTCCATCAAGGACATCATTTATACTACGAATGGAAAGGAAGGATTCAATAATCTTAAAGATGTTTCCAGATACACTGTATGAAGAAAGCTTATGGAGAAGACCAGCATGCCAAAAATTATCAAACGCTTTTGAAATGTCAAGAACAATGGCCTTAACCTCTCCACCTTTATTTAATGCGTGATAAAACCTATCGGTTATTAATGATTGCAAATCAGCTGTAGAACGAGAAGATCAAAATCCATATTGATGATCAGAAAGTAGGTTATGAGATTCGAGAAAAGAGATTAAGTGTTTGTTAACTAAAGATTCAAAAACTTTGCTTATGATAGGAAGAAGACTAATGGGATAGTAGTTAGACGAATCAGATCGCTCTCCAGAACTATTAAAAATAGAGATAACAGATGCTGCTTTCCAGCAGGCTGGAAAACAAGACTCTGATAAGCACTTGTTGAATAGTTTTGAAAGAATAGGCAACAGCTCCAGAGAATACTTCTGCAAGACTATAATGGTTATGTTGTTTGGGCCGCAAGGTGTGGAAGAGTCTAAGCAGGAAATCACTTTAGATACAGAAGTTGGAGTGATAAGGATGTCGAGCAATGGATCAACCTGTTTGACGGCTATATCAGGTAGAATGCAACTAGTGGAATCAAGAGATGATATTGATGAAAAGTTCTTGCCAAACAATTCAGGTTTGTCTTTAGGTGAGATGACAAAGTCTGAACCATACAAAAGAGGTGGAATTTCAGACTTGCCCTTATTAATGATACTATTAAAGATTTTCCAGAAGTCATGAGAGCCTAATTTTTGTGATGAAGTACAAGATTTCATGGTCTGAGAATAGGAAGCTTTGACGTTAGACAAAACCTTTTTACAATGGTTCCTAATAACCAGACATTAATAAACAGACATCTATTTTCTGAAGAATTGTTTTGCTGATAGATATGAAAGTATTGGTTTCGATTGGCAATTGCAGCAGCACAATGGAGATTAGTAAGGCTTGACCTGGAATTGTCAAGAGGGAATAAAGGATTCCATCCCAGCCTGAATCCACAAAGTTATGTAAGAATCAAATTTGTCAACAGGAAGACGAAAGATTTTTTCTTAGGCGCCATCACGAAGAAAATCACGTAAAGAGTCCCAGTCAGCTTTAAGGTAGTTGTAAGATGTACGATGATAGGGGGATTCTGATGGTAAAGAAGAATGAGATAATAGTTTTAGAGAGACCAAACCATGATCAAAAGCACCTAGTGTGAAGAAACTGAGCACTGACTAGGATCAGAAACAAGACATAAGTCGAGTAGAGAAGGTAAATAATTTGGGTTGTCTGGAAAGTAAGTTGGAAAGTTGAATATTTGAGTTAGGGATTGAGAAAGACAAAAGTTGTGGGCCTTAATGCCTGCAGAGCCATTGACACTAGAGCCAAGCCATTCAGTGTGATGAAAATTTAAGTCACCGACAACAACAATATTGGCTGATGGATAAAGAATGAGGGCTTGGTCAATATAATCAGAAATAACATCAAGAAAAGTGCAGTCTTAAGATGAAGGAGGGCGATATAGAACAAAGAGAAAGGTGATAGAGTGAAGTGGCGCTAAACGAAAGCACATAAAAGAGTAGTCTGTGGATTCAAACCTAGTTTCCCAACAAATGGGTGAATTCTAACGAATGAAAATGCCCAGGCCAACAATGTAACTATTGGAGTCTTTACAAATTAAAGGGAGATAACCATCAACACTAAGATCATAAGATGAGACAGAAGAACTCAAATTAGTCTCACAAAGAGCAAGTAGGTCTGGTGAACTTTGCAAGAGAATAGACTCAACAGAAGAGAAGTTACTTCGAAGACCACGGATATTGGTGAATGATAGGTTTAGCGAACTTGGTGATGACTGTGGTTTTTTGTGTTTTATAGTTTTTGTTACTTTATTCATTTTTAAATTTGTTAAAGAACTTGAGTCGAAACATAGATAGTACACTGTTTAATAGCATAAGCAGTTGCCGTATTACTATTAATAAACCTGAACCCGTAACAAAGGGCTCCCATGTGGCCTTGGCAATGCACACCAAAAGTACAAACAGGGACACCATCCATGCGCAACATGGCACTGTTAGTACTCTGATATTTTTCAGCTGTTGATGGAATGAACCTCTCTGAGAGCTACCGTAAAGTTTGGGAAACCTGACCACCAGCCGGCCTCAGGACCATAAAACTGAGTTTTAGAGCTGTACCCTCATTTGGAGATAATAGAATGAGTTGCTTAGTCATAAAAACAGAGACACAAGCAAAACCCATGCATCGAGTCAAGAAGATCCAGCGTTCAACATCCTAAACTGGAAACAATGTGTTAAAAATACATCTGCGCCACCCTAATAGATGAAGAAGGGGTGCGAGGCTGGTCAACAGATAGAATCTGTTTACCCCTTAAGTCTTTGCCTAGGAGGCCTTCCACAAGACAGCAGTCGGATGCATTTAACATCTGCCCAAGATGAGATTTAACATCTGTCTAAGATGAGTTACTGAAGATTAATGAGTTACTGAAGATTGATTTAACTCAAGATGACTTCCTTAATACCAAGATTACTTACCTGATTAATTTAACCTTAACTTACCTGATTGATTTAACCTCAACTTACCTGATTGATTTAACCTTAAATTACCTGATTGATTAAGCCCAAGATGACTTACTGTATATCATTGATTTAACCAAGATAACTTACATAACCCAAGATGAGTTACTGAAGATTGATTTAACATGTGCCCAAGACGAGTTACTGAAAAGAAGGTTATTGGCAACAGCCTTTTTTTCAGTTGCTTTGGTGGCCAAGCCGCCCAAGTTTTATTCTAATATATTAAAATAAAGTAGTGCCTTTAAAATAATTTGTTATTTTTTAAGAATTTACTCTAAAATTTAATGTGAAGATGGGCAGTAGACTGTCCACCATCAGTACTTTATGTGGCTACAATGGTGTCTTTTCAATAGTTTATGTTGCTTTAATGATGCTTCTATCACTATATTCAAAACTAAAATTTTATGAATAGTTCTTTAAAAATAGTTAGTTTTCATTTGGGTAAGAGTTGTTGTTAATAATTACCACGCTAACTTAAAGGTCTTTAATGACGATAGACAATTTAAAACAGTCTTTTAAAACAAATGAAAAATTAGGTTTTCACCCTTTTGAAACTAATAACTGGTGTCTCGATAGAAACACTCATCTTGGGCAGATGTTAACTGCATCCAGCTAAACATCCCCTGCCTTGGAGCTCTTGGTTGAGTAAAGGCTAGAGATGGTGTCTTGATAAAAATACTCATCTTGGGCAGATGTTAACTGCATCCAGCTACTGTCTTGTAGAAGGCCTCCTAGGCAAAGACTTTAGGGGTAAGCAGAAAAATTCTGCTAACCAGCAGAATTTTTCTGCTAACCCCCATCTTCATCTATTAGACTGGCGTAGATGTAACCTGTGTTACATTGTTTCCTGCCTAGGATA